CCTAGAGGCATTCCCTGGCAGAGGGCCTTGACTGCGAGAATTTTATTGACCCCTCTAGTCGGTTAGAATTAGCCATAACTGTTTTGTCATAATGGCTTGTGTGTTTGGTAACCGTAGGTCGGTGCTGCCAGACTAGGGTCGATCGAAGACAAACAATGTGCTTTCTCAAAACAGTAAACAAACCATGAGACGAGTTGGACTACATATACGTCTACGTACGGTCGGAATCGATAGTTAGCCATCTACGAGTAAGCCCAGCTGTTGTGTTGAGTGTAACTCAACGGATGGTGTTTCCTATAAGACAAGACAGGTTATTCATTGTTCTAGACAAAACCCTATCTATTTATCTGTTCATTATATCGAATGCTGCAGCGGGCGCACAAACTAATAATTGGAAAAGTCACTGATGGAACCTTGAAAGTGCAGCTCGTTGCGTAGGCAGATTACGATTCTCGGGTGATTGTATCACAGTTCGTATTCTGCATAGAAAGGATACACACAGTTATATACATACTAGTATACATGTCCCTATAGCAAGCTAACCGGTTTGCACTGCACACGTTTCCGACAGGGAAGGCCGTATGGTACATGAATTTGCACGATGACAATTCAGCATAACGAACCAGCATCCGTTTACGGTCATCTCTTCAACGTTTTCTACTTTCCACTTTATAGTATGAGCCGCAACTCATGTACTGCTTGCTAGAATCGTTCAACAAAGCCTAACGAGCCCCACCATCGAATACCGGCAGAGAGAACTTCAAACCAATGAATACTACGATATATCGTAACTTAAACACATATCATTACTATTATTATTAATTAATAAGTAATAGTTTGCCTTATAAGTAATAATAAGATATGTATTAAAGCAAAAAAAATTCAAGAGCTCTAGTGGTGAAAACAGTCAAACTAAGATACAATTTGACCGCTGCGGTCGACGACACAAACGAGAATTTTAAGAACCTTATATTGACTTCTTCAGCCTACGCTACTAATAACAACATCTTTGGAAATAGGTAGTATGACTAATAGGTGCCGACCAAATGAGGTCGACGCTAATTAAGGGTTACTTCGTTGTCGTCTATGGGGTTTCTAATGGTGGATTGTGGTTTACGGAGGACCGGTCACCAGTAATAATAACATTATTATAGTTTGCTCAGTATAGAAGTCCCACCTCCAGCCGAACTGCTCGGGCAGTTCTACAGTTTTAAAACTCTTCTTATTAGAGCTAGTTGCCCGCGTGGTGCGAAACACATGCCCTATGATGGGGAATCGCAATGGTGGGGGGGAACTGCATAAAAAATGATATAATGGGAGATAGCTTGATAGATTAACGAATAGTCAATGTAAATAGGCAACATAGCAACAAAATACAACAAATTTTTGTGTCATGGAGACTTTAATAATAGCTAGTGATAGGGCCATATGGTAGCACTGCGCGGACCGTATTTCACGGAAAACGGAAGAGCAATTTGAGCATTGCAGATCCAGCGTATGTTATTTTGGCTCCTATAAACATCTGTGCGACATCTATGTACAGAAAATTTTAGATCGAGTTAGTCTATATACAAAGAAATATTAAAAGATCGATGAAATTCATTGTATTCGAGCAGACAAGCAAAAGAAGCGGCATGGCGTTCTCCAGTTTGAACGCTCATAGAATTTGCTTAGATACGGTTGTTGCGCTATGGTTGCAGATATTTACGTTTACCTTTTCAAACCAGCTAAAAGGCTGTTTTTGCGGATCTACCTCCGATTGCGGACGAAGGGGCAAACATAAAAGCGTACCCATGCACTATTCGTCAGGTGCACTATTAACGGCGCGTCAATCATTACTCTGGACTTGGTTTGCATACACAGGAAAAATAGCCCACGTCTGTGATGTTCTTATCCGAGTAAGCAGGATTCAAATTTGCTTGTATTCACAGCCCTTTGACCCTGTGTTCGTTTTCAAATAGGAAAAAACTACGTACGTAAAAGTGAAATTGTATTTTTGAACTTTTTTTCTGGAAATTTAATTTTTAAGCAGCCCGAACTACTGACTATGACTGAGAATAGCACAATTTAGGAGTTACAGCTACCAATCGACCTACGCTGAACATCGAATAGTATCCAAAATCAGTTGGCCATCTTTTGAACAGCTCAGTACCTTATTGAGCAATTGATCAACGTTCATAGAAAAAAGCATGGATCGTCTTGTATCGTCCGAGTTGAAGGTTGCTTGTCTTGCCGGCCTATTGGAACGTATATGCTTATGTAGACATTTCCAGTGTTTTAGTATACTCCTCGTACGTTCCGTTAAGCAATTAAAAAAGAAAACGTTCCTCGTACGAACAACACATGCGATTCAAACGTTTACAGAGCTCACCCCATGCGGGCATTGCTAAGCACTTCCGTCGAATGGCACCTGATGGAGGGTAAAACGCCACCGACTCGCCCCCCTAATGCACGTGATAGATTAAGAGTGAGATGTTGGGTTAACCTCACTGATACGAGCAATGATCTCTATTCAAATGCATATGTACCAGCTTAGTTTGGAGGAGGGCGTTGTTTCGACTTGACAGAATAGACGGTACATTTTTACTGATCCTATTATGAATTTATGAAGAAAACATTCGCCGGTGGTATTTAGGTATACTCCATAGTAAACATCGTTTGTGTGGCCTTTATGACATAGCATAACGTCAATACTGTGACGATGTGTAATGGCTTGACTGCCGCCATCAACCCTATTATAAAGAAATCCTTCTTTGAATTTTACAGCTGTACAATTCTAGTATGGCCAAACGTTGATCAGCAGAGGCAACAGGTATGACTATCCCAATTTGTTTTTTTAATAACAGCCACTTGGCAGGCCACCACTAAGAAAGGACGTTATCTCATTAAAAAAAAAAAATTAATATCGCTTTTAAATATTTTTTACATTGAATAACATTCGTATTGAAAATAATAGAGAACATTTCAATACTTGGCCTCAGCTGGTTATGGATTCTGAACCTACGCGGTTAGATGTCACTGCGATCTTCAAATACAAAAGTCCATTGTCTCATATTACGACCTTAGCTCCTGCCAGTAATTTTTCTTTCGGTGTAAAAATAACTATAGAAAATTTATTGGTTGGCAATGATATATCATTAATAGCAAATACACATCTACCAAAAAATATGTAAAAATACCATTAATTATGATCCCATCACACTAAATAGGCAGACATTAGCTGATACGTATGACAATGATAATGATGTGCTCCCCTGTAGAACTTAGCTAGAAACTGACTTACTCGTTAGAAGCTTTCGAAACCCGGAGAAGTCAAACAATCTTGACGTAGAATTAAGAAAGGCAAGCTGAAAACATACGCTTCTTCTACGCTGTTGTCTAGTTAACCGGAATAAGTTATCGGTAGCCATACATTTGATCATCAAGCACAGTGTATCAAGTAGTCTTTCGAACGCAAATGTTCCCTATTTTTGGCGTTCTCCTGCCGACGCTGTCGCTTTACTATCTCAACAGCAGCAGCAGCAATGAGAACCGATAATACTGAGACTGGCCAAACTGTCGTCGCCTACTGCGTCATAACATGAAAGACACATTGGAATTAGATACGGAAGGATGTATAGCTATCAGGCAACGAATAAATCAAGCAGACGTCATTCCGCTGAACGCTATTTTTTTCCGTATTTTACGACCGCTGTGTCAGGCATTATGCGAGATGGCTATCTACCAACACTAACCGAAGTGTGCCTATTCAAACCCAGACTAGCACGTATCCCTAAATTTACACATTAAAGCATTGTTACAATTAAAAACACATTACTCACTGCACTATCACGGGGACACCCCAACGACCATTGGCCAGTGGTAAACGGCCATTGCACCTAGAAAGGTAGGAAGGCGAGCAGATGCATCGATGGACAAATTAACGAACGAAAATCGTCTCTCACGCTTACCTACCCCTAGATGTCTATTGAGTCCCCGTGATAGCTTAGTGGGAGACGTATTTGCTTGCTAATCTCAGGGATACATTGTGGTCGAATGCTTAACGGCGATACCGGACGTAAAACTCGAAACACAGAGATCTCTGCGAGTTGCTTTCTTTTTATACCATCTTGTTTATAATTCTATTGATACTGATCTGTGCCTATTGGCAGCGGTCCGTAGCTGCCTCCGTCATTTTATAGCTACGACGACGGTGACATGGGAACGACAAAAACGACTGATCAATAACTGCTCAGTATTTACACGACCGGACCTCTTTTACCTTGACCACCGGTGTCGACATCGATTCGAAAAATGAATACGATGATATGAAAAGCCCACATGCAATGGCAACACAGACCACAACGCTAATTTTTCAAGTTATTTATCTACGGCTGCATTAAGTTGAAGTAGTTAGTTCTCTATACTTTCGTTATAACTTACGTAGCCATGAAAGAGAGAATAGTCAAACGTACACCGATATGATTAATATCTGCGTTATAGTTAAGTTCCGCAGCAGGTACAGCGACACAACGAACGTTCCATTTACCTCATTACAATATAAAGCGACAAGGCTAGTTTTTTGTGACAGTTTATACTCATGTAAATTTACTTATCCCTTTCCATACATTCGATGATAGCGCATACACCAAAAATGAATACACACCTAGCATGCTCCTGTTTAAAAAGAGGTTTCGGAGGCTCGAAAGGAAGATCTTGTTTAGAAATGTGTAGTTTCGTCTGCTATGAAGTGCAACGAACGCTGCTCTCCACGCTCACAAGAACGTCACAAAGGGCCAAAAGGACTAGCGCGCCCTAGCCGCCCTTTCCTTCGGCCGAGTCACAGCCTGCGGTGCCTGCCCGCTCGCCCCGGCGACTCTCTTTTCCCGGAGTTATCTTTCGCAGCTTACGAACTGTGCCTAGCTCCCGTTAAACAACGAAGTACTAGCTCGTTTCAATGTAGCTCACCACTGCTACGATACGACGAAGTTACATGTGAGGGAAGAACTGTTCTCATGTAAAGATACAGACGCTAAAAATATCCAATCAGCATGCGTTAATATGTATGCATATTTGTGCAATGTTACCAATAGCAATTTCCTTGATTACTCCGTGTAGCTGGCCAGCATAGGGAAAATGTGAGCTTTTCGGCTATAATAAATTTTCAGTCCTTCCATTTAGCATCACATTGTAGCTTAGGACGTGCTCAAATTCAGCTTTATGTGTGAAATTTAAATGTCAGATACGTTTCATGTCTGCAGGGAGCTTTTTATTGATTTAAATAAGTACTTTGTCGGTGCAGTGTATATCATACATACTACTGGTGAATCGGTAGAGAGTGTAGTCTTTTTAAAAGGTCCGAAGAGAGGGAAGCGGTGTTCCATTAATGCATGCAGAGCTTACTGTGTCAGCCGATATAATGGGATGTTTCAGTTAGACAACTGTCTAACTCGTATCGTGTGTTCTTGCTATTAGGAGTACCGCCAAGCCCAAACTTGCAAAGTTCAACACGCTCCTGCTAGTGCAAGTCGAACCAGAGGTAAGCATCTTCTGGAGCTATCCTCGATGGTGTATACGTGGAGGCTAAAGAGGCATCGTTAAAATACTTATTTTCGGCTGAAGACCTATGCCGCCAGGCTACTGTGACAACCAACTTTCCTAATTACAATCCTAATTCAGAGCCTCGTAACGTATGCTTTGTATTTTAGACATCTTCAAGTGAGTAACATCTTACTAATTCAGTTGTTTTCGGACAGTGTTTAAAAAAAAAAAGAGTGCCGATGGTTTGTGTCTTAAGACTTGAAGTTGAGCCCATCCAAAACTACCAGAGAATCAGCTCATTACGAGCCGGATTTGTGCCAAAGCGTCATATATAATAACGATAAAAAAAAAAGCGCAACCGTTTTAACAGGATGTTCAGACCCAAAAACATTGTAAAATCTACGTTAAAGACCATATTTTTTCGCACCGTCCTTTTGACTTTCAAAAGATTCATGGACATGGATGGTGGAATAGTTTTACTAACACCGAAGCGTATTACTAGTATTTACAAAACATGATATATCGTATTATTGTAGGCTAAAATAAGGCAGAACAGTCATTGGGCCTTCACCATGAAAATGCATCGGCTATTGCTTATAGTATCCTCATACATGGACGTGATGTTTGTATTGCTTCAACCGTGAGCGTAGCATGGTCAAACATCTGTTACTTTTTCTATTTACAAAGCCTAAGATACGCCTGAAAATAATAAAACGTTTTAAAATGGCCAGGGAAGCCCAACAAAAACGAGACGTAGAACTAAGATCCTCATATTTCGACGACTGTTTTAAGGGCTGGAAAAGTAGGGGATACAAATGCATTGAATCTGGCGGGGATCATTTCGAAAGGGGCATCTAGGATTTCCGGTGATTGAAGTGTGTGTGTAGTTGATATGGGAATAAACTTTGCTCATTTTTTTTTTTAGAAATAAGAGGCTGAAACTTTGTCGATACCTTTCAGCGTACTTTTCAGACGGCGAATTTTAAGCAGGAGATATATACACTGCTAGATGGCACATCACTAAAAAAGGAGTATTGATATCGCGCCAGCGAACGAGTAATCAAACGTGGGCAGGACCAGCCCAACAGAATTTCACTGGCGTAAATATGTTCTTTGGAAATGTGTTCGATTTTGTTTAGAAGCATTCACAAATGCCCTCTATAGTTTACAAGGGATTTACGTTTAGGGAATTACAGCACATCTAGACAATAGTTTCCACCGTTACAAATGTGTGCGCGTAATATATGCTTACCACTTGTATATAGTTACATCTTGTGGTATAAAGAGTCAGCCCGTTACCGAAAAACAGTGACAGGTCTCACGTTTATGTGATTTCGAAACATCCAAAGGGAGCGCTTAGTTAGCCTTATTGCCAGTTAGTAGACGTACCAATAGGACACTACCTGTAGTGAAACACAGTTGTGTGTGTGCAAACGTCATGCTACTTAGTCTAATTTCAGAATCATCACACTATAGTCAAACAATATACAAATACACTTCTAGCATCGAAACGTTATGGTGTCCATAGATTTCTTCAACCCCTCTACAGGTTGTCTGGTATGTACAGTGCATAGTAGATTTCAGAGGCACAAAAAAGCTGTCACGGAGTAGGGAATACTTAGCAGATGATAGCATTGGTTATGATTTGCTTGACATAGGTAAAAAGATATCTGTTCACCCTCATAGTCTTCCCGGCAAATGCTCCCACGGCAGATGTTTACATCATGCTTGTTTCATTCCAACTGTCAGTTCATCATTGGTGAGGATCGGAAAGTTTGCCACTGAAGTAGAAAGTGATTGTGTACGGATTAGGCTGTGGCGACTAGCGGGTATCATCTCTCCAATGTCGCCTTAAGGCGTAATCGTTTGGCCTCAAGCAGACAAATACGCTAGCGCATTCTATAAGAGATCTGTTCGTGGCCCGTCACCTTCATTGCAATTAAATCTCATTTCTCCGTTCACAGCACAACAAAACGGAGGGGTTATTCCTTGCTTCTCTTGGATGGTTGCGCAATCGAACGGCACCGAGAGGAATCTGCGTTCGTATGGATGCCGACATCCACATGAATAGCCTATTGGGACGAAGCAAAGAGCCACTTTTAACATCAGTTGTTGCTGCTGCTGGCGTTTTTGTAGCAGAATGACTTGCAAACGATAGCCTTTTCACTGCTCACGCTCCCGTAAAGTACCGTCGCTCCAAGCTGAAAGCGAAAAGTCTGCATACGTTGGGATACTGCGTCGGCTTGTACTAAAATGCCCTTTTATTGTTTTTTTTCAATGATAATGAACACAGCGCGAGCAGAAGCTGATGAAGAAAGAAGAGGAGTGCATCATCACGTAAGTCGACCGAACTGGTCCTCGCAGTCGATTGGTCCGATATGACAAATGATTTGACATAGGTCGAACCGTTGGTCAAATCGGCACTGACTAGTCTATGGACAGTTATGGTGTTTGATAGTAAGTCTCACAAATAGCAAGCCATCAGCCTTTGTACATGTTAATCGTTTGGTCGACTGAGAAGCAGCGTTCTGACAGTATTATTGATGGAGTAGGCGATAAAGGTTCATTGAAATTACTTTAATAAAGCTAGTAATTTTCAATAACATACCTATTCGTGTCTGTTCCTCTGCAGTGCTGCCGGCATCATCATCATCATCATCGGAAACAGTATACAGCGGCAGCCGTAGTAGTGGTAACGAGGTTGTGACAAGTGTACTGCTTTTGATGACCGCTTCTTCCGGTTGGACTAAGGAGCCGCACGTCCCAGCGGATGTGGAAGCGCTCCCATCGCCGCTCTCACCGGCTGCAGTGCTGAATCCTCGTCCGTTGCAATACTCTTCACAGCTATCATTATTATCAACACTGCGACCCAACTTGTCACCAGTAGACATTAACGAAAGTGGCCCTGGACTATTGTCAGCTTCATCAGCCCGTCTCGACATCGACGGCGACGAGAGATCAACGGGCAGCAGCAGTTACAGAGTTAACCAAACTAGTATCTCGTCGTCTTTTTCGGTGTCAGTATCGTCCGATCATTTATCGGAATTCTCTTGCGAGTCGCTGTCAGCGGGTGGCTTGTCGAACAAGGAAGCTTCCGCCTCAAAACCCATGGGGTCCAGCTCGTGTTGCCGTCCTCCTAACGCTTATGAAAAGGTAAAGGCTTCTATGACTTCATCTAATTATTCATCGACAAGTGTCTTTGCTCTTGATAGAAGATTCAAGCCTGTTGTAAAGTCATGTCAGTTTAATTGTCAAGCTATTTCTAACTTAGTCCAAGCTGCCTTTGAGAGAAACTATACCTATACACAGCTAATCGCATTTTGTCGCTTTCAATCGTATTGATTCTGTTCGCACAGGTCCTGTCATTGGGCTGTCCTTCTTGTATACCTTGCGGAAGGTCCTCGTCCGATGCGAGTCTCGCCGTACTGCTACAAGTAGCGCAGCGCTCTCGTCGCTGCTCAGGGCCACTCGACAAGGGGGGGAAGGCGAGTGGCAGCTCCGATACCTTTTCGTCGAGTTCGGAGCGACCCCGTTCTACGTTTGGAGCGTCTGCGTTCTACAATCCTTTTGAACTCGAGCAGCGTCAGCGACACATCGAAGGCACCTTCAGGGATTTTCAAATCCAGTCGAAGTCGGCACGCCATAACATCGAACTTAACCTGCCAACGCATGTGAGGTTACGGCCTGGCGAAGGTCCCCCACCTTCTCATGGGCCATGGAGCGAACGTAGACGTCCTCCTAACTACTTGGATAACTGTGTCCGACCACCGCCCAACCGAAGTCCTTTTACTCCGTCTGCGTCGTCATGTTGGAAAGCAACAGCCACTTTGAAAATAGCCCCAACATCCCAGGGTAGTCATGTGTCGATGCCCGGAAAGAATGGAGGTTATAGTACGAATGACAACAATAGTCACAGTCACACTAATAACAATAATCAACGCAGTAATGCAGACCGAACCCAAGTCACCTCTAGCGGACGAAAGATGCTTTGACACAAGGCTTTAAGTCGATGGATTCAATTCGTATAACCAGTACTAGCTCTATACGGTTTTGTCGTAGAGGCGATAACGCGGTGGCATAGTAATTAATACAAGTTAGGTTACGAATAGCAACAAATTTCACTCTTTGGATTACTGAGCGAGTATTTTAGCCAATGGGAAAGAATAGCACAAAAGACTCAGATCAAAAGAAGACACATGGCATCAAAAATAGGACGATGGCAACTACAGAACACGATTCGATTATATTAACGAAACAATGAAGCTGTAAAAGAGACACATGCTTTCCTCAATGCATAGCGTTCGAATGTAATCATGATGACCAACGTGGACAGTGAACGCGTAGCAGTGAGTCACCGTCACCCCATCGATCGAGTGAGGGTGGAAGCACTTCCGCACGACTGCGCTGTCACAGACAGCGATAGACGGATTACTTAAGAGCATTGGAACGATTATAATAATAATGACTATGATGATCTATGATGGGGACGGTGACGGTGACGTAAAAGAAGACAACGGAAAATGATAAAACAAGGAAGAGCAATTAGCTTCCACAGCTCTGGCGGTCACGTTCTCACCTATTTTTGTTTCCGGATAGCTAAACAGAAGCGGCTCACGGTACGTGCGTATTACCACTACATATGATCCCGTCGAACTAATTTTTTTTGGGTTTACTCCCTCGGTAGAGCAGGTCCCAAGTCGTTGAAAAATGTATGGCTTGTAGCTGTTCAGTGTGAGCTTGCCCTGAAATACAAGAAAAAAATAGCTCATGCATCAAACTGGGGACTACTTAGAACGGATGAACACATAGATACGTACGAGTGGTCAAATAAACGCCAGACGCGACCAAATTCTCTGTACTTGATATAACGGCTAGTAATGATCGCCACGTAAATTAACGAGAGACTCCACTAGCTGCGCTAGTGAAGCTAACAGTCTCTGTTTTGAAAACAATAAAAAGAATCACAGTGGGGCTCGGGAAATTAACGGATCAAGGGCAGGGTAAGAAGATTACTTGTATTATAATAATAGTGATGTTGCGGTGATGTACACGATAACAAGCTAAAGGAGCTTGCTTCGCCGCAGAATCGCGGTGAACAAACAGCATGATTGCCACGCTTTCGGATTCGAAACGTTTTTGTCTACCTTAACAGAGGAAGAGGTGGTCTGCGGTAAGTTGGCAACGAGAGCTGCTGCTGCTGTGGGAAATAGTCAATGCAATTTTCAGAAAGAGTCAACCACTCGCGCGGAGTCGCTCGAAGGAAAAAAAAAGTAGAAGGGAAAAGAAATGATTGTAAGAGATAAGAAACGCCATCGACAAAGCACCTGCTACGGTTCCATGGCGATCAATGCTACTTGTGTTGATTACAATGGAAACAGGAGTATTAGGTAAAGCAGCTAGCATATGATATGTCTGACGACGCCGCCAGAACTAGGTAAGAATAGGTAAGTTAAGTTTCGGTCATCTAATTGCTGCGACCCCGTCGGGACTCTTTATGGCAGTTGGCCCAGAGAGTGGAGCAGAAAGAAGGGGCCGCGAAGAAAATTAAATAGGAGAGATAATACAATTAATCGAAAGAACTGGAAATCCTATGAGGATTGTAACATTGCAAATGCTTACAAACAGGGAACTTACGTAAGGTTTTAACGCTACGACCGAAGCTATAAACGCAAAAATCACACGTTATTATCAACATTAACTAGTTACTAGTACCAATGATGCTGTTACTTTGCTCGACACTTTGTTTGACAAAAGAATTAAATGAGACGAGGTAATAATTTGACCTAATTATTAAGGCGAATAGCTGTGCTAAATGAAGAGCCCAGATCACTTGTATAATATGGTTTTTTCGATACATATAGTTTAACACTCATGTATCCTTAATCATAACAGGAAGCTGCTGAGTATTATATGCCAAGCGGTCACTGATACACAGATAACGAATGAGTGGAATAACGACAATAGTCCATATGCACATAAAAGATAAACAAACAGCAACGGTTTGTAGCATCTATAACGTCTAGCTCACTTGCGGCAATACTTCTATGCAGACTCTTGCAGGAAACGGCAACAGTAACTTGAGGAATGGTGATTGTGTGCATTTATACCTCTCTCTCTCTCTCTCTCTCTCTCTCTCTCTCTCTCTCTCTCTCTCGTGAGCTACTTGTATGTGACGGTGATAGTGATGATTATCACGTTGAAATAACTGTTTCAATGAGAGCCTCACGTGCCTCCTAGGATGCATCACGCAGTCCCCGCTCGCTTCCCTTTACACGACCTCAAGACCATTAAAAATAATAGCTCATAGCAACCGCAATAAGTAGCGACTATTATCTTGATTCTGAGTTCGGTGATAATATCAATGATGGCAACTATGATGATGGATTATTATGTACAGGAAGCTCACACCGACGTAATTATAACTATAACCGTAAGTCCGTTGTCGTATTACTTCCTGTAAGTATAATAATCAATCGAACGTCCCAGTTATTTATTATCTAATAAGAGCATCTATGCGAATGGTGTTATAACCTTGATAGAAAGCGATTACAATATGTAATGATTTTGCCTATCCCAAAAAAGTTCTTAATCTGCTTCACAGTCGACGGAAGCAGACTGAAGTCGATTCTATACCGAATAAATAACCGATCTAATAATTCAACACGACCTCAGGAACGAAGTAATGGTGCACTGTGCCGTGTTCCAGTGTAGACAACTAGAGGAAAAAAAAAACAAAAATTAAATTTGAAGGTGTCGAGTCTTTGGGAAGACCGTCTCGGCGGGTTCAACAACCGCAGTCTTTAGAAGAGTTTCAGTGCACGTGGCCATATTCGGGCACTGGGTGCCGAGCCAATGTTCTGGATACGTTGGCTTTTTTTTTACAGATTGAGTGTACATTTTGATAGCGTTTCCTTTATAAATGGCAAATCATTGAAGCAGAAAAGCAGCAAAACAGAACGAGGTGTGACAATGTAGCAGAAATTAAAGCGCAACACTAAGCATTACTACTGTTATTACATTAAAAAAAATTAGAGCTAAACGATGATAATAATAATAAATGTTAGATTAGACATCCGAAAACAGACAATATACGAAGGCATATAACCTTCTAGTATGTAAACTTCCAATGTAAATAATATCAATAATAATGAAATGACAATACACACCAGGGAATAAAAAAATTCGAGCGCCAACTTCTATTGTGCTTTAGCTAAATATATACCCAAAATTTACTTTCGTTGCGAGCCATGACTGTTCCACAAACGATCATTTTATGCAGAGACTGGACTAGACTCTATAAATTAGTTATCAAACGTTTTCCTACTCATTTATCGAAATGTGAAGAAGAGTCGTTGGTCCTAGGTAGTAAAAAAAAGGCTGTTTGAAACTGATGCTGTGCACTGCTACATTTGATTGAATAAGGGTCGAAGCTTTGGGTGTAGAGGCTATGCTTCTTCAATTTTTACAGTCGCTGATTTAAGTGGCGTTATTGCGTATTCAAGATTATTGAAAAATAATTCCTGAAAACCTAGACAGGAACAATAAGTTACGAAACCAAAGCAGTGTTGGTGCTTTGGTTTCGTAACTTATTGTTCCTGATATGGTAAATTTTGCTTAGATTAACCAATTGGATAAATGTTGCTTTTACCTAATGTAACTTGATTTAATTTAAAATATTGATGATTCCTTTTTCATAGGGTTCAAAAATACACATACAGTGTGCAAGACCATGTAATGATATCTTTATTTTCCGATATCGATCACAATGCGCCAGCGACCAATATAACCGATATCCACGGGGGTGTTGCTTCCATCGTATCAGTTTGTGCTTCATAACTTTCTCAGTCCCAGCAATTAAATCTGCTGTTGGTAACACGCACAATTTGCTCATGCCAAAGCAGAGGCATGAACTTACTTTATCTATCAATCTTCCTTTAACCAACCCCAGAGATCACGAGTTAACACTATTATCTACCAACAATGTTATCCATTGATCGTTGCTCTTGCCGCTGAGTTTTATATATTAGCTTGCTATGTATTTTGCCGTCATGAGACGTCGATTGGTTTCTATGAATACGCCAAAGTTGAACATTCTAGTTAAGAGGTTGTGATAGTCAGCAGTCAGCGGTGTGCGTTATATAAAGACCCGGGTGTATCATCTGATTGCACGACGGTCAAGTGTTAGGCACCTCACGACAAATGCAAAAAGAAAGTACGCCGGTGGGATCTTTTAAAGCGTAAGCAATCGGTTACTTAATTGCCGTCAGACGACGATCCGTGGTGTTGACGTCGAAGCTTCAGAGTGTATTTTGGGGGTCAAAATTCAACGTTCGAGCATTGTTCCCGGTTGTGTTTGGCGAGCCCTGAATTTCGCTAGGTTATTCTCGGCAGTGCTAGCACGTGCCTCGGCATCCTCGAGTTCCTCTTGGCATTTTCGATACTTGCTCATGCTGAGCGAAGCGATCTCCTCAGCCTCTTCGATCTGACGCTGATATTCGCGCGCTTTATGTTGCATTCGGTCTACTACGTCCTGCAGCCGCTGGTGGTTCTTCTGGTCCTCCTCGATCTGCAACGATTGAGTGGCGAACAGCAGTGCTTGTTTAGTTTGCTTTGCTTTGCTTTGCTATGCGATCGATTGCTTTAAAGAAACGCATCATGATATCTACATGGGTAAATGTAAGTAAAAAGTTCATTGCCAACCTGGAACATGAGCTCCTTAATACGCCGCTCGTCTTTTCGGTAATTTTTGGCAGTATCTGCATGCTGTCGCTTTTCGGTCTCCAGCTCAACAGTAGCTTGGTGAAATTTGGCCTCTAACGCCGCGATCTGCTTACGTCCGGCGGCCAACGCCGCAGCCTGGGCCAGATCCAGTTGCTCCTGCAACTCACGAACTTGATGCTCATAATTTTTGAGTACTTTCTCCAGGTCTGCCGAATGATGCTGCTCTTGTGTCAATTCGTCCGCTAGACGTGCACAATCCACCATCGCCTTCTTGGCAGTTTCTTCCTGTTGTCGCACGTTGACGATTGTCTCGTCCAGATCGCTATGCAGCGCAACCAGTTCACCCTCAAGTTTCCTCTTTTGCAACGATAACGTGGCTATCGCCGCGGCCGTCTCGTTGCCTTGCGTACGCAATTCATCCACTTCAGCCTCAGCGGACTTTCTGCCGCGCTCAGATTGTTCGAATAGCTCTCTCGTTTCTTCGAGTATACACTTCGTTTCGTTATAGCGGCGCTCGGCTGCTGTACAGGCCTTACGCATTTCATCATGTGCCATCTGCTCCAGTTCCAACGCCTTTTGGGCCTCATGAACCTGTCACAACGAAAGGGATATCAGGACGAATATGAAAGATGCCTTATGTCACCACGTAAGTGCTTACAAAACATAGAAAATAAATGGATAGCTTGCTATTACAAAATTTGGAAACATCGAATTACGTAAATTAGTTTGGGATGCCAGTGAATCCGTCGGGAGTAAACACCAGAAAAATGGCGTAGAAGGCTCGAAATACGTTTCGATATTATAACAAAACTATATAGAGCTAACGTGCTATAAGTCAAAACACGGTCAGAAGTCATTGATTTTGATAATAATAATAATAAGAGAGAAAAAATAGAGCAAACTAAACGTGATAAAAAGCAATTGTATGATAGTCTTCAATACTCTACAGACCATATTCTGATATCGACGAATCGTCGCTTGTGCTTCAGTTATGGATTTATTTACGTTCTCAAGCTCGATTTCCATTTTATTAAAATCGGCCTCAAGAACCTTCTTCTTGTGGAGCGCGTCCACCTTAGCACGGGCTTCACTCTCCAGCGCCGTTTGCAACTGGTCTAGCGCCTTCTGGAAGTTCTTACGAGCTTCATTGAATTCTTGCTCTTTCTCTTGCAGTCTAGTAGCGCAATCCTGACGAATTTGCTCTTTCTCAACCTCAGCACGGAAAAGCTGAAACATAAAAAAACTTCACAATATTGGTTTTTTATCTAATTGTGCATTTGACTCAGTCAAATTGCTGCGGCTCGGCATCCCTCTTATCACACCGTAACCTGAAAGATTTAAGGGACCCTACTTATACCCCATAGGGCATACACACAGTGTATCGAATGAAAATCCTGTCTGAACATGTACTTCATGCATAAACCTAGCAAAGGCTTCTTTTTTATATCGAAATAATCAAGATAAGTCAAAAAAAGCGGCTTCCATATAATTCTAATTAATAAACCTTTAGTAAGCCAACCAAACATATCCGCTATTCTAAGGCGGGTTATCAAGACATATATAGTTCTGTAAAACTAAAATTAAGGGTGGCACTTCTTCTTTAAGTACGCGCAATCGACGCATCGGTCGTTCGCGTATCGTCATGGTGTTATATATTTTGTTAAAACATAACCTTTAGCTCCGGTTTAGACATCGGTAATAATCACCAATTTTTTCGCAAGATGCGCTTGTGTTTCGTCCATCTCAACAATAATTAGCATTTAGACGCTACTCTTTTTCTTTACTTCAAGATCTGGATTTCGCAGTGTAATGTATAGAGTATGATTGGTTCAGCTTGTTATAGGAAACAGTTCAAAGTGTCAATTGGGATCTTTTAACATAGAAGTACATAGAATCGAGTTGTGTCGCAAAGAAAAACATCTGCTATATGTACTGGGTACTTGAAAGAGAGATATATATAATGATCTTAATTTATGACCGTAATATTTAACTGCATTCTAAGGCCTAAGATTTACGCCACACATGTTAAATTTTCACGCACGAAATGTGACACGAGGCGGTTTTTAACAGATAATTTTAGACCACTGCGTCACAAGTTGCCTTGCCGCTTAAGACAAATTGTGTTGCATTAGAGTTAAGCTACTAGTCCCCTTAGCGGGTAACGTGTTTCATGTAGCATAGGAAGCTAGAGCTGTTAGGATGCTTCCTCAGAATCGTGGCTAACCGGGTTATCACGCGTTTGTCAAAATGGCCGTTTAACAAGCCCAGGTTTGCAATGGTGTGGTTAGTTTAGCCAGACGAACATAACTTGATTGGGTATGAAAAATGGAGCATAGTTAATTTACTCAAGTTTTTTTCAGTACATTTTTTTTTTTGAAAATTTAACATTTGAAACAAAGGTTAGCTGTCTGCTAGTCCGAACCAAAATGAATTGTTTTTTTACAATTGAATAAATTTAGCTCTTGCTTGTATCAGTTAATCAACTTACTTTTTATGGTCAGCGCTGAGAGTTATACTAGGTCGGCCTGTTTCGCCAGTAAACTTTTTTGTGTTTGCCTTTACTGTGTTCACTCATTCCTAGCGCTCGAAGAAAACCACATATTTGTCGTTTCTTATATCTTTTGTATTGCTCATATATACACCCATTTGTAAAGCTCAAATGCTCCTCTACCTATTCAGAATTACCCAGAATTTATATTAAAAAAAAAAACAAAAGAAAAAACAAACAAAAAAAAAACGAATTTCGAGTCAAAAATGCCACGTTAGTTTACGTAAAATGAATATTAGCAAACTTTTGTGTCGACACGAGCTAGTTCCGTATACATAAGTTAGCTCCTGCACAGTATTTGCATTATCTAACTTAAAAAGTGTGCTGTGTCATATATACTCGTATTGTCGTAGTCCCTGTGCATCGAGGAATACGTGTTAAGCATTAAACACAGCTTTGGCAGGATGATGCTTTGCCAGACATTTTAGAACGCATATACAGTATAGTCGAAAGCTTTTTATTTTTCTATTAAAACTTGACTTTGTTTTTTCTTCCTGCGCGCACGAAGTCACATTTGGCCAGCGTAGTTGTCTGTGATGCCCGCATCTATAATATAATAGAGTGCCTTATACCTCTAGTTTCGTTAGGACAACGTTCTATTACAATTCGTTAGAATATATATATTTGAAGCGGACATGTAATCTTAAATAAAAGCCAACATAAACTGAAAGCAGGCCGGTGTCTAGAATAACGAAAAAAGTAAGTTAGACGCAAAGCCGTGGACGATCTTTTCTAGACTGACCTTATTTTCCTGTCGCTCGATAGTAGCATCGGCTTCCTCGCAAGCCACAAGCGCATCGTCCCGTTCATTTTCAAGTTTTTTTCGTTGAGCCAACAGATTCTGGATCGTGCTGCCTTCCTCTGCCAGCTGATCTAGTACATTTTTGAGTTCGTCCTGAAGGCTCTTGTTCTCACGCTTTAGCAGTTCGATATGCTCAAGTGCCTCATCGTATGTGGCCTTTGTCTTGAACAGTTCTGTAGAGTAGTTCCGACATTCCTGTTAGAAGTAGATGTGGCTTTCATTATTTCTCACTTAACAGAACTCTTTTCTTTTTTTTTATAATATAACATGCCAGATTATTTCGAAACAAGCGATTATGCGGAAAAGTTGATCATTCAGCGTGTTCATTCAGAGCTTGCAAGACGTACTCCACGCCGACGGGTACACTAAATTAGGTATTAAAGTACCTGACAATTCATACCTTTTGCGAGGCATCAAGTTCGTGGGCGAGGTCGTCAGCCTTAACTTTCCATTCCGCAATAGTCTTGTCGAATGCCTTTTGTTTCTTCTCCAATGTAATTACCTAAAGCCAGTCAGAATCATTGCCATCTCTATACGTTACTTTTTCTACAATTAAATATTTCGAGTTTCATTTCTGGCACCATTCATTTTGCGCGCTACAGGTATTTACCTGTGAACATAAAAGGTTAACCGAAAAAAAAACGTTTGTTCAATTTCAAAGCTTTTTACTGCTATGATGCACTACTACTTCTCTGCTGATAGAATATTATTTATAATATGTAGCAACTATAGTGATTTGTCCCAAAAGGAGAAAGGTTAATTCTGCCAGATATCAGACCCCCGTGGACGATGCATGTCTCGGCAAACGATTGCATACAATGTAGTTGTTTTTGATACTAGCCTCTCATGTTATTCAAATATAAGTTCGTGTGATCGCAGTCAGTGACAGGTTACGTATTGTAGCCCATAGAGCACTAGAGTTAAACAGGAGAGGCAATGTCAACATTCTTATTGTACCTTACATGCTCGAATAGTTATCCTAAATGATTCAGGACGTACCTCATTTCGTAGGTAATCACACTTCGCTTGACTGTCGCGGAGTTCTTGAGCTAACAGAGCTTTATTTTTTTCCAGAGCTAAAATCTGTAAAATCAAAATATTGACGTTCGTCAGATAGTCTCTGGTCGTAGCTGTACGTGCAACTCCACTCGTTTGAGAGTACAGCTCTCAAAAGAAACTAATCAATTAGTACGAGACGAAGCTTCTGCTATAATTATTCATACTGGTAGATATAGTTGAACGAACAAAACGCAAGCCTTCTTATTAATGTAGTTTCTCTAGCGTTTACAGTCATTGTTTTCATTTAAATTGCCTTAGGAAACCCAGATATTGTAGCGTTCAGCTTGACACACCCACTAGGCTATATTCTGCACTTTTATTAGCATACGCTGTACGTATATCGTTTGCATGTAGCGGGGTTTTACTCGCGCTGAGAAGACGTTTGCGTTTCTTTGCAATACGCATAGGGTATCAAGTCCTCCTAAAAGCAAGACTTGAGTGAAATTTATCTATGAAGCGTTTCTGCCTGTTTCCAACCTTGGTCTCGTGAGTTGCGCACATCCCACGACTCTCGTGGAGTTGTATGACGAGTTTTTTGTTCTCCTCTTCAAGCGGTGGGATAGTATTTATAATCAATTCGTTGTACTTAGTTCGCCATGCTTCGGCTTCGTCAGTGATCTTGGCTAGATGATGCTGCAAATTAACCTTGGCAGCTTCCTCTTCTTGAAGCGATGTCTGAATTGTATTAACCGAATGCTCGGCCGCACGCTGGCGACCTTCGGCGGCCACTCGTTCCTATACATTCGTCAATATTTGAAACAAAGTTAGCATGACTCAAAGAGAAATAGGCACAGCATACAGTAGCCACCCTGATTGGCCACCGTCGTCGTGAGGCGCCTATACATATTTGTACGAATTAAGAAAATGATATATGAGAAGACTTATACTGGCTAACAACTGAGACTGCTTCAGCAGTTGCCTCATTAACAATGCTGACTGTAAATTTTCTACGATGAATTGGCATCGATTTTATAAATTACTCTGTTCTCGTGATCCGCCCTGCGTGTTGCGTCTTCTGCCTGTGTGGCCAGCGCACTCTTGGCCTTAGTCAAACCACTGATCAAGCGTTCCGCTCTATCAAGTTTTTCTTCAAGTTCAACTTTGGTCCTTTCTAACTTCTGGCGCGAATTATTGAGGTCGTTAACTGTGCGGTTGGCTTCATCTAATCGAAGCTGCATCTCGTTGCACTGCTGAGTAACGGCCTTCATCTGTTGTTCCAGTTGCGCCTGTGGGCGACACGCGGAATGCGTTAGCCCTTTGGATATCTTAACAAATGCATTTCTAAGTAACCGGTTAGTCACTATGTGTGTGATATAGGCGCTTGACCTACTTGATCAGAAAATAAAATCGATGGGCCTTCAATGGGCTGAAAATCTGTCTAAATAGGTACTTCGATATAAAGCTACGTTTTTTTTTTCGCTAGCGAATGACATATTTACTAGGCCAATGGGAACAATTTTTAGACAGACCATGCCGATTTTATAGATAGAGCAAATAGTATTTTTTTGCAATTGAACTATTAAGAAGCTGCATGATATCGAAACGATTGAAATAACGATAGACTAATTAATAATAATAATAATAATAAGACTGCTAACATTGTATGCTATACGAATTGTAGCATTATTATGTTAACAGTACAGACCTGATGTTTAGTGTGATAATCGAGCAGTTGGGTCAGATTGTTAACTTCGGATTTCAGGCCCGAACGCTCCCTGTCAATCCTGCGAAGATCGGGAAAAGGTTTGTTATATCTATTTCTGCTTAAAAACCATTAGCCAATTTGACATGTTGCTTGCTACTGGCGTATAGGATGCCGCCCGTTCGCGACTAAGTACATAAAAATAGGTTCTAACATAAGCTAAATTATATAGGAAATTATTCGTTTATGATATTGAACTAATTCAATGTAACGCCTCAGCTAGCATGTGCCATCATTTGGACAATTTCGATCCTTCCCGCCAAACAAAAAGTTGTGTTAACTTACAGTCTCACAGTGGTGGGCAACAGCGCGTCATATAATTTCGTTTGTTTCGTACTACCATTTGGTGTAATTTGGCTATTACAAGCGGGCTCAGTGGACCTCGAAATGGACCACATTTTGAGCTACGCGCCGCTAACAGACAAAGTTTGACTGGTCACTATTCGAAATAAAAAAAAAAAATAAAAGCAGAAAAAATAGTTTAATCTTGAAAAATCAACGTTCAGAGGTTAGATTTCTGTTCTTGGACCGTTTCATTAGAGACAGCGGAGACGAACAACATAGATACGAGAAAAAAACAGCAAGGTAGCAGTATAATAAGTTGCGTTTATAATAACCGCCTATCATTATATATAATATTGCGTTTAAACAAATGATATATTGTGACTTTACTCTGCGTTCGGACGCTAGTAGACCAACATTGTTTAGAACAGTCTGACCACGATCGTTTACTAGTCTAATTTATTCTCTTTCCTTAAAAACTGCCCTATTCCAGCAGCAATAGCATCTGTCCACGGACTAATAGTACGAACAACGGGGTCATAATCTGGGTGTGCTGTGATCAACGCTACAGCCGACGTGGGCAGGGCCTCCATGCGCATTCAACCCGCGACCCTCTCTATTCATATAGGTCCTCAGGTCTTCTTCTAGGTTATGCCTAGCTTAGACGAAACGTATCTAGTACTAGAAGTAATAATATCATAAATATGTACATTCGTTTTGCCTGTAGCAATCAAGCAAAGCCAATTTGGTTTGCTTTCATAGCTTCCAATTGAGGTAAAGTAGATGAAATCAGGGGTCACCCACTAAGATCTGGTCCTGGATGTTTGACAGGTGACGCAAATTGTTTACTGTCGCTGAATAGCAAAACGAAATCAAGAACAGGATCAGTTCCTATCGCTCGCTACCGTTTCGGAATGATCTTAATGATTAAGAACACTTATTCACTTATTTAGTCCTCCACTAACTGAATAGATGTCGCAGATTTTCTGTCGGGCTCTGATGCTAAACATGGCTTTAGACGTCTGACTAGGAGCAGGAAATGAAGTGAGTCCACGCCGAGATGTGAACCGAAATCACCACGTATACCCAAGTTCCTAGAATTTCTAAGTGCCTCTTAAAGGCATCAAAGACTATCAAATTAGGGATTAAGTTTGAAGTTATTCAACCAATATTTATTTACTTGACATGCTATGTAAATTCTGACATATTTAAATACGCAACGCTGAAAACAGCAGTGAGCAACGTCAACGAGCTGACTTTATTCGGGTTGAAAGCAGCGTAATAGCAGAATGATCATATTTACCTATGTCTATGTTTAGCAGTGCTGCATCTATCTGTATGCAAATTTTCGTCCATAAAAAATATATACATCAGCTAAATTGACCTTAAGGATCACTAGTTATTATACAACAAGACGACAGGATGTCTATAAACGTTCGTCTATTTGTTTAAATGGGCATGTTTATATAAGTGTTTCGTACTTGGCCTTCGCTTTGTTGAGCTGGTCGATTTGATCGGTGAGCTCATTCGAATGTTCGTTGTGTTTTCGGCGAAGTGCCGAAATGTTCTGCTCGAACTCTAGGTTAACCTCTTCAAGGTCCTTGCGTATTTTTGTCACTTCCACTTCCTTTCGTTTAAGTACTTCCTGAAATCGAGCGCAGTACGACGCTGAGCTGCCTATATAACTATCGCCACACCATGATTTAATCAATCTGAGAGAAACATATATTCAGAAATAATTAAGTGATACAATACGGTATGTTGCCATGACAATCTCGACGCATCAATTGCAGCCTCAGATACTGTACTGCGGGTATGTTGTTAACAAGCACATGACGAATGCTAGCACTGCCGGCAAAATGTGTTTCTTTTTTTATTCTTGGCTTCTTTCTATCTGAATGCATGAATGAAACGCTATAAGATGCGTCTACATGTACGAAAGCTCTAGCACGAATAGGATGCAAATGCTTGTGAGCTTCATTGAAAAAGTCATGCTAAATCAGAGTCTACACAACTTTACCTGTAGTGATTTTTCGTTTCTCTGCGCTTCGAGCAGTCGATTAGAAATCTCATCTAATTCTCTTCTTGTTTCGGCCTGTTTCCCTTCCGCGCGGATTCTCCCCTGACGCTCGGACTTCATCTCTTCCTCGAGTGCCTCTAGCCGTTGCTACAGAACGACAAGGTTGATCAACAGGGATGTTACCGATGTTTGCTAGCGCCACAAATACAACAAACTATGAATATCCGTGTTTACGTAGTTGGTCTACTGTAATTATAGTTTTCATGGGCTACTAGGTCCGAGCATTAAGAAATTGTGAGATGAAGCTAATTAAGATAGGCACTTCGAACTGTTCAATCCTTCAATCAATTTGGCTCGCCTTTTTAAAGATGCCGAGGGAGGCGGCCCGCTCGGATCTACGTTTCGTCGCCCGTCTACTAGACTGGCTTTCCCGTTCCGTTCAAAGCGTTATAATATATTTCCTGTTTAGTAGGTGCAAACGTATTAAATTTATAGATTGAGACTTCCTCTGTGGATTCACTAGTTACGGAACGGCGGTACATTGAACTGACCTCATTCGAGTTCGAAGAGTTATTAAGGGCCATCAAGGAATCAGGTCAGTGTGAAGCCGCTTCACTGTAGTACCCCAGCAGAGTTAATTAAGCTTCGCGAGGCTTGCAGAGTTTATGCAGTGAAATACGGAGTCGTTTCCCAGCTGAGAACTCCAACGTCGATAGCAACTATATTCGGCATATTAATGTGGTATGAAAAGAGGGGCCCGTTGTGGGTGTGGAGTTCATTTGCAACGAAGTATGCAGCGGATCACGAATGGGGTGGTCCGATGCAAAACATTCGGGACTTATAGGCCAGAAATGGTCTATTCAGTAACCTACTTCTATTGATCAGCTGCTGACGAATGAAGACAAAGATACATTGGAAGTGATCGGACGACAGCTTGTCTGACTATTAACACATGCCTAGAAGATTGGCGCTTTAGCAGCAATGACAGACAGAGAACTATACGTGGATAGAGCGGCCTAGTCAAAAAGACAACTGCCTAAATTTTACAGCGAGGGCCCGTACCTGAGGGCCTTACAGACCTGCATGACCTTTTTAGTAATGTCAGATTTAGCCGCTACAGTCTCATTCATGAAGGATCCGAGTTTTTGGATCTTTTCCATGAGTTGTTCTTTAGCTTCGCTATACAGGAACCTGCCGCGCCTGCTTATTCTTGTGCCGTACGTCCTCTTGGGAAGTGGCTGGCAGCCGCAGTTAAGAAATACAAAATTCTGTGGTCTCGGCCAAGGTTCGTCGAACGCTGAGCTATTCGATAATTCCTGCTCTTTGGCCATAATGGACGCACGTGTCCTTTGCGATTTTTTGCGCATTTATAGACTTGCAGTGCCACGATTGTCGGATGAACGCCTGTTTCGAAATAACGTTTCGTACGCAACTATGTTATTTATTGTTACGCTGGTGAAATTGAGTTACTTACCATTGGTGACAAACGTAGCTTTCAACTTGGCGTTCTGCATATAGATTACTAATACAGTGTCAAAGTTGAAACGGCGCCTACATATTCTAACGGGAATTCTCATAAATGCGCAGCTGATATAATATATGTATGATGATGATTTTGTCTAGTTTCTCAATTTCTATCACAGATATCGGAACCCAGTGACGGTTGCTACTCGATGTTTATGTTGGCCACGTAAAAAAACACATTACTTGCTCTGGATAACTAAATTGTTTGCATTTTATTACGCCAGCATCATGTGTCAAAACTCCATTTCAAGGATCAAGCGAATTCCAGAGTTACGGTTTGCGTCGTTCTGAAGCATCAATCAATAGACATCATGAGAAAGAAAGCTGTGTTTTAACGAGTTTTTACCTTAGCTTACGAGGTCTATGTATTTGAAACGTTACAGATAAAAATACGGTTGGGGCGTATTTATTGATGCCTTGTAGAAGAACCTAATAAAAGGCAGGATCTGAATATCTATTGGCCTAGACCACATTCGTCTGCTACATGTTACATTTTCTGCAAATAAAACATCAAAGATTATCAGAAAAAAGTCCTTACTTGAGTGCGTGCAAAAACCTTTTTTAGTCCACCGAAAAGCTATTGTTACCCTTTAACCATAGATTAGCCCTATGTGAAAGGCGCCAGTTAACCAGTCATTGGAAAATCTAATCTGCCCAGCAACAGCTGACCATATCTATAAAGTCACCAACGCTAACGCTCGTTGCTGTGCAATGAGACGATTTATTGATGAAAAAACATGGACAGATACCGCGAGACCTACTTGCTTTTTATAGCATTTTTTAGAGGAACATCCTGTCTTAGAACGGCATCCCCATATGCATAGCTCAAACAGCGAGTCTTATAAAGATAAAAATCTGATTACCCACGTTTATTTGTATCAGCAACAAATAAAAAAGCTATACCTGCAAAATATATTATTTGTTTCCTACATATAAAGGGCTAGCTGTTTATGAAACAGAGTTACCACGTCTTCTCTGCGTATCGTGCATATATCATGGGTTTCGCTATAGAAATCCTATTCAAAGTGAAGTCGACCGGCCGACCGTACCTAATTGTTAAGTGAAGAGTGATGAAGACTCCTTCTGATTCTGCACCATATCATAAATTGGACGTGGCAACAAATTTCATACTAAAATCAATTAACTAAATCACTATATCAGTCACCAGCTACAATGTCTCGGCAGAGATCAACAGCTGAAGAAGCTGAAAGCTTTTTTCCTCTCTGCGTGGATCGCGCAGGTTTTTAGAGGGTAAAAAAGCTGGGCTCGCATGGGATCGGCACACGGCTGAGAATTCTGCACAAAAATCGTTTCAAGTGGGAATTGTTTTTGGCCTGTTTTTTAATTAACTTAGCTCTTCGCTGCAATGTCCGGCCACCAGAGAATATTCTCGATTCAACCTAGGGTAACACGCAGCCATACGTGGAATACATACGGATGCCACTAGGTATTGTGTATACATATATATTGATCAGAAGTCGTCGGGGAAGGGTACCTATCTTCCTATGCGGCTAAAGTGGGTCTTTGCGATCACGAGAAAAGAGCAGTGTCGAAGTTTTGATCATTACGATTTGGACCTCATGTCATAGTCACCCGAGAAAGACGTTGCATTAATGAAAAATTTTTTCCCTAGTTGTTCCAGCTGCAGCAGTAGTTTCAAGGTACATATTGGTCATAAACACTGATTTAAACATATGAAAATATGCAATCCCATTTTCGAATATTTGTATATTTTCATTATTTAGCAAATTACGTATATACTCACGTTATAAAACATGTGCACCATCGTAGGGTTTGAAGCGAACACAGGCTGCTGTAAGTCGCGGGCGAGTTGTTTCGACTCTTGAGAAAGCGAATAGTTTGGGGGGACATAGGCCTCATGTTTCTGGAATGGATAGAATGAGCCAGAAGCCGGTGTATTTCTAGCCGCCTGAGCGGCAACCGGAGATGCAGAGGTCTGTACTGTCCCCTCTTCCCCTTTATGAGAACCTTCCTCAATTTCCATTATAATCAAAATAGTTAATCTGCTGTACGAGTTTTGGTAGTTGGTAGAAGGACTGGTTTCAGTTCACTAAGCACTTTACACGAAATTATAGAGAAATAGCCAAATGCAATTCGTTCCTGCTGAAAATCCCTAAGTCTGCTTTCAAGACGACTATTTCCAGACTCACGACTCTACAGTCTTCGAACGGCTGCAGTAGAGCTTAATCAGAATCCTTTCTTCCTCTGCCGAAAAGCTTTTTTTTTCCTTATATATACGGTGTTGGTACAGTGGTCATTGCGGGTTTTCACTAGCAGTTCACACTGCAAGTTATTGCTTTAGGGAGCCAGGTTAAGCGCAGGACGGCTCCGAACGCGAAAAGTCACGGCCAGTCGGGGCCAGATTTGCTCGAAAACTGAAGTTCTCGCCCAGGAGACAGCCTAGTTCAATCGCAAGTGCAAGCGGGTGTGGGTGGCGAGACGGTCGCGAAGAAGTGAGGAGGACACCGTAAAGATGACTAAACCACCGTTTAGACTCTGTGCACATTATCAAACGTATATACATACATCCGAGACAACCAGTAGGTAAATGATGGTGACATTCGAAGAGTTTTAGGGACACTTGAAGTAAAATGAGCGACTCCAACTGTTCGTTTAATTCGAGGAGAATGGTGAAGTAATTTTGAAAAATGCACATATAGCTGAAAAGACTAGTCTTTACTGAGCCAGCAAAGCCGAAGTAGCTCGAAATACTTCACGAGCCTAACAATTTATCCAGAACGTACCGCCAGATCTTCCATTAAATCAGCTAACCGTCGTTAACTTGACATGAAATGTTCGATTTTACATCTAATGCTATACTGCAATTTAAAAATGCTCATAACAAAAAGGATAAGAAAATTACAGACTATTTTTGTTTATTTAGCTCTTCTTCAATATCTAATAGCGGAAATTCTTTAATTAGTCGTATAACGTTTCGAGAAACACCAGCCAACTATACACGACGCTTATCTCGCTCTCTCTCTCCCTCCCTCTATATATACATGCATATATAAAGGTAGGGATATATATACGGCGGGGGGAGGGATAGTGTATACTCATATATGGGTTGCTGCCTTCGCTTGGTGTTTTTGGAAACGCTATACTAACTAATTAAAAAAAAACTGCCGCCGTTTCACTGTAGTTTTACAAAGCCGACGGATCACTGTTTACGCGAAAGTTTCATGTGAACACGTAAGTGCAGTTATGGTAAGGGTTATGTAAAGTTTTTTTCTTCTAGTATTTATGTGTGTACAAATAAACGTATTGAATGATCCGTGCAGCAGTTTCGATCCGTATCAAGTGATCGAGAAAGTACGAGCCAATTAGGACCTATATGTCTATAGAAAGTATTATTGCATGATGCGTAATTGGCGCTGCTACGCTCGATATGTTTGCCTCGAGTTAACTGTTAACTACACCCGCATATGGCTGTGTTAGAGAAAAATATCTGGTGAAATTTTCACACGATAGAGAATATCTGCGTTCTTTAAGTGTGCGTCACTTAGAAGTAAATGCCTCTTACCGATGAACCCAAACAAAGTGACGATTTTCTTTCGTGACACGGCAACAGGGCAGTCATTGTTCCTGGGATTTGAGTAGGAGTTCTAGTGACACAACAAGGAGTGTATATTTAATTAGATTGTCCAGACAATTGACCTAAAGGCCACGCTTGCCATAAATCTGGTGCAAAAATGCGTTGCAATTTTCCGACAATCAAGCTATTAGGTAAATTTGCTCAAACGTACCCTAATTTTTGACGAACTATTAAAGAACAAAAACCAGACATTTATCTCTCGACACCTCAAGCAATACGTAAAGTAGAATTTCTAAATTTTATTATATCGCCATTAATTGAGATTGCATTGATTGGAAAGCTTTATCATCGGCACGACCTCTCAGAACGACATAGAACGAGTTTTCCTATGCCTCCTCACCTAGTAGCCTCCTTTTATTCTATGCTGGCCTAGCTCGGCCTGACAGTATCAGCCACATCAGTAGCAGCGTTAGAACTCTCACGTCTGTGTCACATACGGGGTTTAGTAAATTTTGTTGAAAAAAGAGCCTTTGCTGCACCATGGGCCTTGCCAATATTGCCGGCACCAGAGGCCAGAGATTGTCCTAGGCGCCGTCGATGGTCATGAGATTGGCATCCGGTTCTCGAGCTGCGCAAGTCTTTATTCCGTTTTTGTGACATCGTTTTGAATCACAGTCTATGTCTTCTAGTTTCCTCCGCCCCCGCCCAAACCATTTCCTTTAATCTGGGCCAGCTCTGCCTGGGCAGGAACGAGCCACCGGCGAATCAAGCAGCTATCGACAAACGCCAGAGAGTATACGATCAGACTAAAAATATTTACGTTCTATAGTATAACATTCTTTACATTTAGATCTAATGGGCGCTGTCTCAGGCATTAATGAACCGTAAGAACGTAGCTTGACCAGTAGTTATGATAACCTGTAACCCTGCTCTCTATCCGTCATGCAAAACATTTCGTTGAAAACTGTGACCGTCATGCTTTAGCTGCCATAGGGGACAATAAAATAAGGAAAGAGGAATATCGAAGAATACGCGATTTAATAGAACAATACTTTATTTCCATTTGCATATATAAAATAAATTTCAAGCCAAATTAGTCTTTAGAAGCAGGAGTAGATCGATCATTTAAACAAACTGAGTTAATTGATCTGGCTTGCTTCGTCGGGTGATACGTCCAGGTTAGACAGGGCGATACCAGCTATGGGAGGGCGCGTTCACGTTAAGCTAGGCAAAGGGACAAGAGTCCCAGTTAGCCTGTCGAAAATGGTATCTTAAGGTTCCCGCACTGACGATTCTCACAGGGTGTCAACGATCTATATTTACAATCTGCTATATAAACAATAACTATTCGGTCAGTCAATATAAAATGCGTGAAAAAATCACAATAGACACGTTTTCTATATCAAAATGGCGCTGTTTTATAAAGATGCAATATTTTCGAAATACATATTCTAGAGGAATGACGGTAACCTATGGAAAAGTCCGGAAATCTGAATGATTTACAAATCATCTCGGAACTACAGCGGCAGAAACAGTTTACTACATAAGATTGAAATTCCGTAAACGAGATAGTGTTAGGACCACCGTGAGCCGTTAGCTTAAAACCTGCACCAGGCCAGAGATGTTTAACTTCGAAATGGATTTGTGATATTAACGTCAATCAAGAAATTTCCAGGAGTATGGCGGAAGCCAACCGATCTATCCTGATGTTTACCAATGTGAATCTTAGTTTGGTACAGCGAACTTCAACCAAATGAATAAGCTATGGAAACTGGGCGAATGAGTGTTGTATGAGTGTTCCTATTCTAAATACATCAGAGGTACGTGTTTCCGTTAATTAAGAAAGCAGACCTAAGTTATCTGTTTACAGTTAATAGTATTTAAAATGAGAATATTTGTTCTTTAGCCGCGCAGTTTGGAGAATGTGCAATGTTGTATTAAATGGGGAAAATTGTCACTTTTTCCGAACATTGTGTTAATCTTACTTTGTACATTCGATGCCGTACTAAGAATCCGTTCTTAAGTAATACGCAATATAAGTGTTGGCCTATTTGAAGCTCTGCGTACTTTCGTATGATAATTGCAAATGGATGGGCTGAACGTAACCGCATCAGTGGACATGATTCGAAATTAAACGTACAATGACATTAGCGGATGTTATTCATTCCGGCTTCATGAGTTCCAGTCGGTCAATTACGGCTGAAGTGTACTTAATACAACGGGAGGTGGCGATAAACAAGCTACGCATTAAACAGGCCAAATGATTGAGAACTCAGCTAGACTAGTCCCGTTTAACGGCAGCGCTCAGTCTTACACCGCCAGAGAGGGAATGGCTGTAACAAAAATGCACGAACTCCCTGTCATCTATCATAACCGGCAGACATAACTCTGATAATTCCTTTTTAAATCTCGACCTTTTTCTTTACCGATATCAACATAGCTTCGATATTGCCCTTCAGCCCTTTATAGGCTCTCGCATCTTAGACGTCTGCAGCGGCGAAAGGAAGCATATCGAAAGTAGGAGCTATATTCATTTGCCGTAGTAGTTTCGTGCAACTAATGAAGACCTTAAATTGGTCCGTCGAATAAGAACCGCAGAGATATTGACAGACTTGCTCGGCTTGTTCGTCAACACATCTTTCTGCCCAATGCTATTTCAATTGACTTTGGCTCCTGCGACACGATTTGTCGAACAAATACAAGCATATGTTTACGTATTGACCTTACATATCATCATTTATTACTGTTTCAGACGGAAAAGATCAAGAAACTGAGCTTCACAATTATCATTTTAAACGTAAGACTCTGCAGTCTTTGTTTATGCGACGGGATGGTTTTTTCTCGTATAGCTGTGAATATCCCGTTGGCTCACATGCAAGTAAACATCGATATTAAATAATACGAAACATCATTGGACTCTCCTTTGGGTCGTTCCATTCGGTGCGTCTGATGACAAAAATGTATTTTGCAAATTGATCTAATATGTTCTCTGGCAAATATGTACAGAAATACTTGTATAAAACGTGAAGAGCTACTTATGGCTCAGCTTGAAGCAAGTACTCTTTGATAGTGTTTTCCACGCTTGTAACAGACCGTATACACAAAGTAGTGCAAATAAAATTATTTGCAAAAAAAATAACACTTACAGCGTAATAGTCACTTAATAACATAGCCTACACTTTTTCATGTTAATTGACAAAGCAACGATCGAACCCCTTCGCAGCGGATATCAATTATACTGTAGTTCATAATACTATCTTACATATTTTAGATTACGTATCAATTTATTTAGTAGATTCACTTGAAGACTCGGTCATTTTTTCTCACCTTTGTTGCTATAAGCTCTATGCAAGGGGATGTTACGGTGCTCCATTCACAGTCATTATGATTTTTGTCTATCGAATTAATTCTAGATGCGTAACGGATGAGCAGGACTCATAACCTTCGTATTTAAAGAATATTCAGTTTTCAACTTGAATTGAACAAGCGGCACTTTTCCCACTTGAGCTATCACCACTAACGCAGTCGGGGATACCCTTCGAGTTTTACATTGCGTTCTTGTCGGCCACCAAACGTCTACTTTCGTCCATCTCAAGTTAGTGTTAGAATCACAGAGGAAAACACGAGTATCTCAGGGCGTCCGACTAGCAAAGACTTGCGACTTGCGATCTTCACTATTTTGATTAGTTGAGTGATTCACGACTGTTTTCGGTTGCGGCATCGAAACGGGCCATCCTAGTTTAAAAAAAACAATAGGCTTTTAAATATTGGGTAAAAAAAATGCCGCATTCACTCGGTACCAGACACAATAAATCTCTAATCGTATTACAGCAAATACTCGTCGTTTTGATTGATAACATTCTGCGGTTTATCGATGAAAAACGTCAAGAAGTAGTTTTCGCACCTCCTCCATTAAAGTTAAATCGACATCATTAAGGGAGTTCCGCAGATACCGAAACAGGTCATACCTGAATGGTGCGAGATCTGGGCTATACAGTGGATACATTAAAATTCCCCATACAAGTTTCCTTAATTTCTCCCAAAGAGCTGAAGGCATATGTTTAGGCAGATTTGGACAATGGGAACCGACGCCTCTTGCGTTCACTAGTTCGGGTCGAGCTTTTTTATGGCTTGTTGTAATCTTGCTAGGACAGAAATCCAAATATCGTTCTTTCAGGCGACGGAAACTTACAACGCACATGTCCTCACAAAATTATTAAACGCATAACGTCGCCTCGATGTGGGCTTCGTCACAAATTGCAGAAAACTTTTTTTTGCGCATCAGTGTACTCCACTGTCATCAACCGTGATCGGTCACTTTAGAAACGGCCTGATTTCGTAGCGTTCTTATAAAGTTTATAGAAGTACGGCCGAGTGAATTGTTTTCGTGTGGTATTTAGGCATCAGGCTTTCTTTTTCTTAGCCAGTTTTCCCCAGATGGTTAAACACTGTTTGGTTAATGTTGATAGAGGATAGTCCGTTGGCGATATTATGGCTACCCATATGTTAATACTGCTGAAATTTCATAACTTTTCTCCGTAATTAGTGGATCAATGTGAAGAGCATCTTTCACATTGAAATTTCTAGAACAAAAACGACAGAGCTGTGGTTGGGCCATTTTTTCCGGTAACGCGTCTTGATTATAAACAACCCACATTATGGGCCTGGGCAGCATTTGTGTTTTCATCGTGACAAAGAATAGTCAAATATTTTTATAGAAATTTCACGAATCGTCAGGGAAATCTAGTCTGAATAAAGGCGTCTCAACACACATGCTGCTAGTATTAAATCTCAGCTTTTGAATAACACCAACGCTGACGTGGTTTATATTGTCTGAGATATGTGACTTCTAAATAATTTAGCTTTGAAAACAGTCGGCAAACCAAGGTTATATATTCACTGATTTGAGGCCATTGACCATAGTCATCGTCGCAGTCATGCGCCATTTTGACGACTGACATAAACGAGCCTTTGCATTGGACTGGAGAAAATAGAAACGCTTCAGAGTTTCAGCGAAGATCGAATTAGAAATTTGGCCATTTCTACTCCCCTGAAATATATAGGATATGAGTTTTTTTTCTGTCCTATTGTTGTAAGGACATAAATGAAAGTGGGCGATCGTTCAAACGTCACGTTTAAACAATTTCTCCTCGTCGACAAATTTACGATGCTAGCAAGAACAATGCATCCGCATTTTTGATGCGTGACGGACGTATTATATATGTTCTTGTTTGAAATTGTATTGCACTGCATAATAATTATATTCGGTTGCGAAGTAGTTCTTCAGCTAGGAAAAACGCATTAACCTGTTAGCCTACACATTTTCATAATGGCAATACAATAATTTAACAGTGCAACAATCAGCTAAACAAGCGGTAACGATGCCGTGCGGCATTGCTATAGGGATTCAAGTGCCCTCGGAACGTTTACAGTCATCACAAGTGATCACTGCTTTGATGTTTTCAGTTCTGCAAAGCCACACCCCGTACATTCATCAAACGTTTCCCCGCTATTGGGCAAAGAAAGAAAAAGATCAGTGCCACGAATTTCGGTTATTTTTCGGTCAGCAAGAGTTTTCGAGTTCGGCAGTCAGTTCCGCGTTTAAGTGTCTGTTCTTGTAGATCAGCTGAAGCAGCGATCCGGCGCAATGGGTCACTCCGGCGCCAGCCCGTTTTTTACAAATCTGATGAGCAAATGACCACCTGCGAGAACCGCAAATAAATTAAAGCCAATCATTAGAGTAAGTTTCATTCAGGCGCAGCAACGCTGCCAGATCATAACAGGACCTCCCCAGTATACTGTTGAAGTACCGGAAACAACTCTCTTCCATATGTATCTATCGTTGCCTTACGGAATAAATTCATCGTGATAATTTCACGCAGGCTCGATTCTAGTGCGAACGTCTAATGAACGTCCACGACATATAAGGACGCTCACTTATTTTGAATAGGATCGTAGATTTCGACAGAATCGAGGTACTTCGTTCCATCATGACCGCCGACAGCGTAAACACGATTGGCTAGGGAAGCCCCGCCAACTCCTCCTCTCGCGACGCACATTGGCGATACCTGCGTTATTTAACACGAACCAGGAATACGTAAGTTAGAAAAGACAATTCCAGAGTTGCTTGGCAAAAGATATCACTATTAGGTAATGCGAACTGGATGCCTTTTAACGAACCTTTTAGTACTCGCAGGTGTTGCAACGATAACATGATCATCTACCGCTACGGCAAAGCAGACTCTACACATAATAAGCGTTTGCTCGAAAGCTCTATGCAGACGGGCTGCTCGCCTCAGACAATTAAATTACTTAAAATGGGCTCAGTTGACTTTCGGGAATCCTTCCTTTATTTAGAGCTCAAGCTTCATTTTGTGTTGAAACTCCATGTTGAAAATATATTGCATTCTGTATTTCATTTGTGTGTTTTTGTCGCCTACAAACAATCTACTTAGCACAAACATGGTTAGTGAACAAAAACTAGCTAACAAAAAGTAACTTTTTCCTTTATTCTTTTCCAAGCCTAAAAAACAAGGAAATGTATGGCCCGAGCTCAGTGCCACTACCCATAATAAAGGAGTAGCCTACCTGTGTCCATTCGTCGCGTTCCAAATCATATAATTCGGCAGATCTTAAAGGTACGTTGTTGTCAAATCCCCCTAATGCGTAAATCGCAAAGCCAAAAGCAGTTTCGATTATATTGGAATATTGCATTGAATAAAATTAGACTCACTGTCGAAACAATGATTACTTGAGATTACTACAAACGTTTCGTTTATCGTATACAAGGCAGAGATAATGCAACTTACCAAACACGTAGATATATTTGTCGACGAGGCCAACGACGGCAGCAGCTCCGGCGCGTCGATGCTTCATTGAGGCAATATAGGTCCATCGATCAAGATGTGGATCATATTTCTCGCATGTAGACAGTGAGGTCTGTCCTACGTTTCCTCCAAACGCATACATCGTGCCCTGAACAAAAGAAAGCACGCCAAACTGCACCTCTTGCGATAGTAGCGTTGTTATACTAAAACTATCGGAAAGCGTACATATATCATTATCAGACGCGAATATGTCGCCAAGTAATCAGTCAATCTCAGACTCTCGTTTGTTTATTATTCAAGTGTATGATCAGAAAAACGCTTGTAGCTACCTGTACAGCCACAACAGCGACACCTCCTCGAGGCGTGAGCATCGGAGCGACGGAGGTCCACGAATCATTCATGATGTCGTAGCGTTCCACTTTGTTAAAAAAATTGATATCGTCTAGACCACCTGTACATATCAACGCGTTACAATGTATATATATATGTATGTATAAATTCTTATAGTTATGAAGCAAATCTATATGTGAGAAGCAAGTAATAGTTGCTTTATGACAGGCATTCTCGTACTCACGAAAACAATATCAGCTTATTAGGTGAAGTACGTCTGATAACGTGCGTATTGTAAGGCAAGTAAGCACTCTTCAATAAAATAGAATATGTATGTTTACGTATCGTACGCAAAACCCGTTACTTAGATATATTAGCGTAGTAAAAGGGCAGTTAAGGAACACTAGAACATAATTTACTGCAAAAACCGATGCTAGATGTGTCGATGTCTATCACTAAGCATTATTATCATGCCCGTCTGGTAAGGTCAGCATGCTACCATAATATTGCAATGGTGACTGACCGACAGCATAGATTGGGCCGTGGTCAGCATTCAGAGCGCACACACCGAGCCCTCTACGAGGCGTCCTCATGGGCGCAAGAGGACGCCACTCATTCAGGTTGGGCGCAAACATCTCACACGAACAGAGGTGACGGTTGTCTTGTTCACAACCACCCACTGCGTATACCTTCCCTGTAACAGAAAAGTTGGTTAGCCCTTTACGCCATTCTATCAGATTCTAAATAACAGCTAGCGTACACAATCCGTACACAGTCGTGAGGCAATGAAGCTTGTTTTTTTTCTAGTTCGCGTAACTGAATGAAACCTTATTGCATTTGCATTTCTCGATTACGGATAATTCTTTGGTCTCTTTTATCAGCTCATTTCTATCTTCTCCTGTGAAACGCTAGATCTCCAATGATTAGTCTAGATTAGGAGCTGCACCATGACTACTGAACATCTTGGCTCTTCGGCCGTTCCTCAAACGAAATGTTGTCTTCTGACAAAGCAATGAAAGAAAGGTTTGTAAACTCAAAGCATAGCTGTATTTCTTTGCACAAGCTATGAATCTGTTGTATTGACAGGATTGAGGAGGTGAGTGGAACTCATGGCCGGCACGGCTTCTGGGACGTTATTGAAGAGCTCACAAAGAACATCGGCGACAATTGTTGGTGATACTTTGGAGGTGGACTGAATGCGGCAGAGACCCAACGACCAATGCCTAAATGAAACAGCAGTTGACGACCAACAAGGCAAAACTCAGAGAGATTATTGCTACAGCTGCTAACGGGCGATTGGGAAATTAACACCCATAAACTAATACGACTGAAATCGCTAATGCAACGCTCGGAGACGGTCATGCAATGTATTCAAAAATGATGCAATGAATATTGTCAATCAGTCGATTTTCAAATCTTCCAGAAGTTCAACTCATCCTAAGTATCGATCGAAGCACGAGGACGTGCAGGTGTACCTTTCTACAAAACTGTGCATAAAGTGTCTCCATTTTTTTGGCAAAAAATTCATGCACTCCTTGCTTGAATGTATATGAAATTCTATATATTACAACTCACCGGCCACGCTGCAAGCGGCAACGTGTCTCCGACGAGTTGTCATGTCCACCCCGCGGAACCAACGATCATCGAGAACGGAATAAAATTCTATGGATGCGCATGGTCCGCCTGTCGTATCCCTACCACCTATACAAAACAGAATTCCTGCGTAACTCTTGCGCGGCTCAAAGCGATCCGAACTGATTGGAGCTTCACCAGATAGAAGTGATGCACGCCAGAGTTGATAGTCCTTTGCTTGATCAATAAGATTTCTGTAATGATTTAAGAAGATGTTAACTTTGACTTTCCGGTTGGTGGCAAGTATGACCAAATTAAAGTTACTCAATCGGCAACCAACTCTTTAGAAAATATTGCTTTTTAATAATGACAACGCCCATGATTATATTTTAATTAAACGGCTAAGCTTCCTTTTGAAGAAGAGGTTTGGGATTTTTTGGGAGTAGCTATATCAGACTAAAACGTACGCTAAAATTATAGCTACCTCGCTATACAAATAGGCCAAAGATTGCACGTGAGTTTCGTTTTTACGCGTTTGTACGCGTTTTTACATCTTGGTAGTGCAATAATTTACGGGTACCTACATAGAAGCATTATTTAAGATATTAACAATTAGACTGAATAGATTCCCAGAGAAGGGGGATAATTTTGATATTCTGAACATCTCAACAAGATATTCTCAACAAGGCGGAGGGATTCGGAGTACCTTCGCCAAGGAATTTACTTTATCTGGCGCAGTGGGGACACTTGACTGAGGTAATCCCAGCCCATCTACTTGTCAGCACATGCCAGTCTTTTCTATTAACCCGTAATACTATTAGGTTGGATACCAAGTTCTCCTGGTTCTTTCATTGAACGATAAACACAACATTTTCAATTCCTGTACCAGAAAGCTATTATGTGATTCATTCTTCGTCATTACTTAGCACTTTCCTTCATATCTCTATCATATAGTATATGCCTTCTCGTTGGAAGGTAGCTGGTTTTGTCTCACAGAAGTCTACGCTTTGAGTTGAGCTATAGATTTGCATGAAAGCTAGGACCACGAAGGTATTGCATCGGATATTTTTCATATCCGATTAAAATTCGTCGGCATTAAGCCCGGAGAGAGTGTAACAAATCTTCCTGTTCAAATCCACGAGGGCACCTTTGGCGATACTTGTCGTAAGTCGCCTTGCATTGTTATCGAACGGGGTGACCTCAGCTCATCTCGGGGATCTTTTTCTTTTGGATAGCCCGGTTGACGGTCAAATAAATATTCCGATTAACCGTCTGGTACATACATAGGAAGCAATTCCCAACAAATCAAGCCCTTGCTGTTCCACTGCACGAGACGCATAATTTTTTTTGATGAATATCTGGTTAGACTCTCGAAGGACCTCTTTTGTAGACAGGAATCCCACTCTGGCTCTTGTAAACGTAGAGACATCCCTTTTAATTACTGGAGATAACTCTGTGCAGTGTTCGGTTATTGTGGCCACGTAATGCTCGACATCAAGTGAAGTGCAAGGAAACGTAATTCCTTGTTGGATATAGAGATTTCATGAAGTAGCCAAGGTCCAAGTTTCTGTGTATGCCAAAGGATTTGACGCGGCTAACGATGGTCTTCTAACTGCAAACTATTTAGTCGGCCAATTGTTTGCCGGCCGTCTTTTTTCAGAAGTGCTTTTAGATGGTCATCCAAAGCAAAGGGCGTCCTCTAAATGCGAGATGCCCTTTTCGACCTTAGTCAACCACTTCCGAACGGTTCGTTCAGCGATAGCGCCATTATAAAGTACCGGGTCGACCAAGTACATAGTACAGGAACTATCTATTCGGGTTGGTTCAGAATAAAATGTAAAAGAGGAATTAATAGTTGGTAGGTATTGGCGTAAGCAAGTCTAATTGTCGGCGACTTGTTTCGGCCATTTTAGTTTGTATGAAATAGGCTTTGTCCTGGTAATGTCCGATCACACGTAGGTAGTGTTACAGGAAGAAGATACACAATTATCAAATTTTCTATTGTGTATTACCCTGCTATTGTTTTCTTTGCTACTAATCTCTAAAAGTGTTTGATAGTATATTTATATAAGATAGCAATAAACGTATACAATCCTTGTGCTATATAGCACCGGTATAATAAAATACGAAGAAAAATTCACCTAATTCAAACTAAAAGACAAGTCGAAGGACTAGTTATTTACTTTCTAAGGGTTTCGACTTGCGTCAACCTGCCTGCAATCGATGTTATCATAGAAGTCGTAGAGGACCGTGTTACGTAGGTAGCACGGCGGAAGCAGTGGTAATCGGATTTTCGATAGGAGCCGAGCGACGAGTCGTTGATCAGAGCTACGGCCACCAACTGATAGCCATTTCAAAACACATTCATACACCTGTAAAGACAGACAGGCCAGATGTCACACCCTACGAAATACCAAGAAACAATCTAATAGGGTTGGTTCTTTTCTAATAGAACCAGCAAAAGAACGTCGGGACTCGTTGCCTTTCCCGATTTACATTGGAGTGAGGATTTTTTGGTTCTAAATAGGTTCTTCGCGGCCAGTTGTAGAAGCTTTATAGCAAATCGTTCATCTTAATTAAGTATACCTTTAACACTAGCCGCTAATTGTTCGATTTTTCTGGACTAACAGTGTGTCGCTACGTGCGGCAATGGAAGCGTTGATCACATTCTACACGTATTTCTTAAAATAGAATTTGAGAAATTTTTCTAGACAGGTTGAGTATGACGCAGCGACAAAATACACTAATGTGGATTAATTTTTAACTAATAAGAAGGCCACTACAAAGTTTTTTCTGTCACCAACGACGCCTATTTTTATGACAGTTACATTTTCAGATAGTTATGCTGCAGATAAAAGCATATCTAACAAAAGATATTCTTTCAAAAGTTCATCTTGTAGCCCAGATAGCAGCGCGCCTTTGTCCGATAGGCATGCTGGTTACTAAGGCTACTAATGATGCACGACGAGATTTCTTTCTCAGTTCTTATAGTCTTACCTGAATCTCACTCTCGACACACAGCTTTGAAGATTCGAGCAATTGTTCCAGGACCAGTGCGTCAAGGTTAAAAAACTCCTCCCCTCCGCAAGTAACAATTGCTGGCCAATTGCGTAATATAAATCGTTGGACAGCTTCAGATAAACCGTGTAGACCGTGAGCTGCAGCGAAGTGCCATATGCCTTCAAAAAAAAAACGTTCAAAAGTTTACCGCTGGTGGCAATTCCTTCCTCATCTTCTGCAGTGTTTTAGTGTATCACCAGTATGTGTACACTGGAAGCAGTGATCATATAAGTTCGACTTCGCCTATTGAAAAATAACCTTCGATCTGTTTTTGTGCTTATTACTTTTTTTAAAGGGGACGTGTTTCAACCAAAATTGAATGTTAGCCGGATAAATCTGTAACTTGGGTACGGGAACTTGAAATAGTGGCTTCATGAAGTACAGTAGTTTACAACAACTATATTGTATACAATATTGTATTTATGCTATGTAGACTCTCAAAGAGGAACTTCTAAGTTGAGATACCCAAATTTATCCACTGTCCATTGCCGCTGTTAATAAATCAGTATATAAATTCCTCTAATGTTTTGTACATCTGGTTGTACTGTTTCCAAATATCTTAAATAACGAGCTAAATCAAGAAAATGACGTACCGCCCATGGCTTGATTACTACTAGCCAGTGATAAATTTAATCATTACGACAGCTCACAACCACAGGTTTCAGGTGCACCTAGAACTAGAGAGCTTTTACGCGGTCTAGGTCAAAGGCAAACATGTACACACTTCATTTCAAGCTAGAAGAGACCGGCAATCTGAGGCATAACGATACCACGGATAAAAACTTGCAGCACTTACTGTTTCACCAAATCTTAGCTTCTTCTGCGGCGTCCAAATGGCATTGGGGTGATTACGAATATACCATTTACGTTCCTGATTAAGTGACTTGTTATGAAAATCCATGGTTTGCTCGCCATTGTTGTTGCATGCTAGTGTCCTTCGTCTCAACGTCATATCAAATGCTGCAATCGAACGATTCAGAAGGCATTTGATAGTCCACAGGCTATTTCTCCCAGTCATCGGCCGACACTCTATATAGATCCACGTAACCGATGATCCACGTAAAAGTATAACCGGTATTAACTGTACGCGTGGGGGGTGCGTCTTGCGGCATCGTCCGAATCTAGCTGACAGCACCCTCGCCACGCACCGCACGGCCTGATCTGAATGTCGGTGCCATAGCTGAGCCCTGAAGCCTTCGGGTTTCCCTAAGTGTGTAGATCCAATCTAGGAGCCTATTGTTTTTAAACCTCTCTTGCAAGACACCCCGTCAGCCAGTCTGAGCTCGGCACGCCACAATTAAACGGACCAGAGAAAAGCACCGCATTCATAGACAGAGGACACAAATGGCAGCTACGTATAGGAGCCAAAACAACTATAGTGTGTGCTCTCTATGGTCGCCCAAAGGCAGAGCTCTCTGAAGAGATGTTTCAGCAACGTTCACGATTGAGTTGTTTAAAAGGATTCCCGTCTTTTGAATGTGTTGCTTGAAATGCTTCATTCCGAAATACAAACCCGATCGATTTCTGTCCACTCGGAACAATGACTATAAATGAGAATAGGCAAGCACCTTACCGATTACTTAGACAGAAATGCGTATCAGAAGTGAATACGCTCAATGTTAAGGTGTCTTTCTATTAATCTGTGATATATTTAATATTTTGCATTGTAAACTTATGATGTCCCTACAATGCATGTTATTGAATTAACTGGATTTTAACTATGCTACCCACTGTAAAAGCTGGGCGAATTCCGAAACTACATACTGTAACGCGTCTTGATATTAAATAACTCTCTTACACGTTGGTGTAAGAGTACGGCTGCAAAGCCAATGTACACGAGCCGTGCACATGGAGGCTAACGGAACTTTAGGTCCATGATTTTCACGCACATGATTGCTAGGGGCTTAAAGGGATGCTTCAATGGGTAACGTGTCATTGGGTCGTTCATTATAATCCGATCGTGTCATACAGCAACTCAAGCTAGTTGAAAGCAGACCTCCCAGAGACAGGAAAATCTTAGCAGATAGGTAGCTGCTATGATTTGCCGAAGCGTTGGACTATGGGTTTTTCTCGTCAGATTCTTTGTATCGACAGTCCAAGCTTTACACACTCTTCGCTCGTGATTGTCCTCAGTTACTGAATACCATACACACTGACGATCTAACCGATGAACAGACTGGTCAGGTTATTTCTCCGATTGACAACCAGCACACTCGTATGTTTGTACCACCTCCTTCAAACGCTTTCAATGCGATAGTACTCGAGTGCAGTCAGATAGCGTTTCACTGTCATGTCAGCGACGTAATATAGATAGGCGCGCAGCAGTTGAAGCAGGCAATTAAGCATGAAGGTAATGAGGCTGCGGGATGAGAAGAGTGTCTAATAGACAACCATGATAATAATAATAATGGATGATGTGTACCGGTGCTTATTATATTAGTGACGCGTCTACATGCAACATTCACTGGCGCAATGAACATCGGTGCGTTCTCTGGCAAAAAAGACATCGTCTAATGACGATAGCAACAACGGCAGCCATTACCTCTGCTTATTCCATTCACTGCCATTATCATAACGACCGTTATCATTGTCATGATAATATCCTTCCTTCCTTTCGGTAAGAAGACGCGGCAAATCCGAGGCCCGAATAGAGAACCGAATTAAACGAGACAAATGAAAAGGAGGGGGCGTAAACAGAATGGAGAGCGATTCGTACTGAGCCATATCTCCGTTACCTCGCTGAGAGCGACACGCGCGAGACAGTTAAATGAATTCACTATTTCTGTTTGCCGTGTCTAGTCCAACTCATGTTTTCCCTTTGCCTGTCCTTCAGTGAACAAACAGAAACAGGGTGTTTAGCATGATTAATAATAGCCAGCGCCTCTTCATAGTATTTAGCAGAAGTCACTCTTCATCTACGGGTAACCAGATGGCTGAATAACAGCATGACATATGCCGGATGAGACAACATCGCAGAAAGGTTACCTTTCAAGACTGCCACACCGAAAGTAATTATAGAAGCGTGCCGTAGCAGTAGTGAATCATCGTGATTGTAGACTGCATTCTCGTATTTGGCATTTGTACTGTTTATATGACATGCAAGGGATAAAGCATCCTGAAAATGCCAGTCTGACAAAGGCAGCAGAGCACCTGAGCATCGCTTACCTAGACAATTATTATGTGCGAGGATTTTGTCCTTGATATACTGGCAGCATGCAAACTCGAGATTGTCAATTTGAAGTACTGAGGCGGCGTGTAACAGTGGTTGAATCGTCAAGGGACTGAGACGAATCTGTGATGAATAGGCATACTCGATGATAGCTGCCACTGCGTTTGGATTTAGTTCTTGAATCTCCACAACCTGAAATACCCACCAGTTGAAAACTAAACGTATGAAAAGTGTACAGAGTGATCTGCTTAAATTTGCAACGTTCTTTTTGCTTTGCTCCTAAAATTGTATCTAGACGAAAACAGCTAGCTCAACTTCCCACCTAAACTATGGCTTCAATTGAGGGCCTAAACTATAACATTTAACAGCCACTTTGAAGATGTTCCATCTCTAATCAATAGACAACTTACGTTTACGAGTCGAGCATGAAACGATACTGAAAACTGTTGACTCAATAAAGTTTAATTCAAGCGCGTTTTACGTGAGAAACTGAACTTAAATAAATGTTATTCCGGTAGCAGGCCAAAAAATCGTCAAGATACAAAAGTTTAAGATAGTCAAAGAATGCCCAAAATATTGAAGCTCATTTAGACGACCAAATTGGCAATAGGTACTCCTATCGAAGACGAATGCTGATTTTTGTATCAATGATACGGAATTATCAGAAATTACGTGGAAACAGGAAATACCTCGTAGCCCATGGATTTGTACACGAGCAAGTGATGGATACAGTTTGAAAAATAAGTTTCTTAGAGGGCTGCCGAGAAAAAGGTAGATGTTGCTTAAATGGGGAAACGCTACCAATGTTAGCCGGAAGGACATATGCGAAAGACGAGGCTGAATGCGCGCATTCAGTGTTTCCCATAGCAGTGTATTAAAGGTCCTAAGAGACGGGAACTTTGAGGCCTTCCTAGTCGAGGATCGGTAAAGGGAAAAAGACTATCAAGGATAACGCAATTGTCAATTCTCAAGTTCTTCAGTATAAATCCTATTAGGCATCTACTTCATGACAGTTTCTCAGTTGTTCTGACACCCGCTTGTAAACTGGAAATCCATAGAGAATGAATGAATGAATGGATGTCCCCCATGACAAATAACCCCACAAAATTTGTCCAAAGAAGCGCGAAAGATTATTCTGTAAGGTAGCATTGTTTAGTATATGTCTATAGTATGGTAGGTCTACGTTTAAATGTGGATCAGTAATTGATGAGGATTAATTTAATCATGCCAAATCCGTTGAATGATTTTGGTGACAAAATAGCTACAAGGGTGCTTGCCTGAAAGAACTTTGCTATAGTGGACAATTCTAAATAATAATAATAATAATAATGATAGGAGTAACAGTAGCAGCTCCTGCTGCAAGCATTTGTGACACAATTAGGCTCGAACGGTCTGCTTCTAAAGTGTTCATTTTCTATTCCCTTTCCTCCTTTACTGAGATTCTAATCTAAGTGTACAAGTAAAACCGCTGGAGCTCTTCAGCCCTGATATTTATCTAATTATTGTAAGTAAGGTGTGGGCTATTTCCGTATATACCGATACCATGCGTTTGGATGAAGCAATCAGCTACTGGGAAATGAGAGTCGTCGCTAAAATGTAACACGCGCGGTAGGAACATGGTGATACGTGAAGTTGATTGATCTAGCGATCCGTGTACGAGTTTTAGGTTGACTGGTCAACGATCCTCTTGGTAAAGATATTAATAGGCATCAAGAAGATCAAGGGCGAAGCGTGTCACGGCAGCTTCTGGTGACCACTATCTTCCGCGTAAACTAAATCTCAATTGGGATCCAGGCGAAGAGGTGCATATGTACAGCGAATAAACTGTATTATCGCTGGGATGGTGGAGGAAGCGATGGTTTTTACTGATTGCGAACTTAGATCCTCTCACGATCATCGTTTTTCCTATATGTGCAATAGAAGCTGGCGGTAGCTTGAACGGCTAAACGTCTGTCTGAAGGAGACTAAGGGTCGCTGCTTTAGGTTCACCAGCCATACACATATATGAATTATCAATTTTTAGGAATATGAATCTATCCTACGAATTAGTAAGAAACATGTGTGTCTATTCTAACGGTAAATCGCAAGCAGAAAAAAGATCGAATACCTTCAAAAGGTGTGTTGCATGCTTCTTTTATTTAGTTCGTTTGTTACCACTAAGTAAACATCTACTCCATCTTTTGTTCCTAGATTCTTAGCAGTGCTAATTTCTTTGCTTACGTACGTTATGTAGAATTTATGTGTCGTCATCAAGCGGGTACCTCTGAAACCATGATTATACAAAACGTTTTGGTGCTTTAAAAGTTTACGCATATCCTAGACTTACCGTCTCAACGGACTCTCGAAGATTTGATGTAAACATAGCGTGGAAATACGGTGAGATGCAGGCGAGAACGAGACGGTGACACGAAATGTCCCGTGAGTCGGTTCGAAGTATAACGTCACACAGCACCCCCTGTTTGTAAAATCTGCAAGAGGAAGAGTCGCATGGTGGATACGCATATCAATATGGACATAAAAATAACGATTGAATACTACTTGTGTTTCATAACTGCATTATATCAAATCAAAGAGGTCTTTATTGATAGGCTCGTCGAGAAACGACGATTTCTGTCGATAGAACCAATCACAATATTGGCGAATGAAGATCCCAAATCTATCCATCCGTTCTGTTATAGTGCTAAAACTCGGTGTCCGTGCGTTGTTGATTTTTTGGCTGAACTGAGCCTTACGGCAATTTATTCCATAACCCTTAAAAATTCTGATTAATTTTCCAAGTTTTAAGAAATGCACACAACAATCAATCTAGAAGAGAAGTATAGATTTTACACATTTTCGCGATTAGTACATAGGTGATTTTTATTGAAAGAGTCCATAATGGATGCGGTAGATCTTTTCAAATGTGCGACAGTTTGTTCTCCTTGTAGAAGGGCGTGATGCTAGCTTAGTCAATCTGCGTAATAGTTGATAAAGTTGACCAATTCGATAACTATGCTCGGCTGAAGGAGTACTTTTTCCTCTATGGTAAAACTGGCAAGATAGAATAAAGTATATCACCTCTCCAGTTTGAGAACGGGATTAGCTATTCAAGGACACGGGGTCGAAAGTAGATAGAGCCTCAGGCTGGTGCGGCGCGCACGTTTTGAAGTTACTTTTACACATATAAGGTGTGTCTTACGTGATTTTGTACAGATAATTTTGAGATAATCATGCGTACGAGCGTATAGTACATTTAATATCTTAGTAGACTGATTGTTCTCGAGCAAAGGGGATATAAGGGCGCATTAATACGAAAGCGGATTCGTTCCAAACCAATATGGAAAGGGATAATAGAATAATTGCACTAAAAAAATGGAGCCATTGATCTTAAGTAGAAAATTGACTTCACCAAAAAATATGATCACTCTAGCGGGCATAATATAACAGTATAAATATGGCATAGAATAGTATGTTAGAACTTGGACGCATCGGAGCAGACGGATGAAATATCTCTAGCGTAGTATTCCAATAAGACAAACGACTATGTAAAACAGGAAACCTCCACTGGAATAAATGTCCCTATGGGGGACAAATCAAATTAAGAAAATAGCATTACTGTAATTAGACTTAATAATTGTGTCTGTCCGATTAAGAAATCCATCTTTGAAATCGACCTTTTGAATGTTTCTGTATTGTTGTCTATGTCTATCTAGGGGTGATTGACGATGTATTCTAATACAAACAGTGTTCAAGTCGAAACTACAGCTTCAAAAATTCTATGTAAACGAGTAATATATTTTTTTCCCAAACACTCTCTGAATGAAACACCGAAATATAGAAGGAAAATGTCGACGTAAAGTGCCACCTTCTTGCTAGTTTTCTTGGATATCATTGGATCGATCTCAACAAGCTGAGTACATCTTTTTATTTGAAAAAAAATAAATAAACAAATAGAATATATAAAAAAAAAAGCCGATACTTAAATGTTTTGCCATTTTGCATAGGTGACAATGGAACGACAATTTTTTACGTGGAGGCCTATGTGAGGGCGATTAACGATTGAAGGCTCTCGATGAGTTGAATCGTAATAGGATCTGCATTTCGATACTTAAAACTCAGTTTTTGAGTCAAAAATTAAATTTTATTAATGAAAGCTTCTTTATAAGAAATGCAATTTTTGTTATGAATTGATAGATCTTGCTAAACAAAGTAAGAATGCCGTGCGTCTTCCTTGGCTATTCTTCGGTATAATAAAGGCAAGCAAGACATTGTGATTTACCTCGCCCTGTTTATCTCATCTCGTAATAGGACAAAAATCTATTCTGAAGGAATTAAAATTGACCAAATTTTTTGCATATGTCAATTAGAAAATTCCGATCATTTATATGGCAAACGTGTCGGCAAAATAGTTTTTTTAGAAAGTGTTTTCATGAAGATTTTTTACAACCAAAAAAAAAATGCTTTACTTAAGGTACCATTTTCGTAGCGCTGATTTTTTGCGCCAATCATATATTTCGACGCAAAAATACAATGCACCTTTTAGTACACAGATCGGATATTTAGGCATAGAAAGCGTTAACTGTTTAACTTCAGTGACACCATATGAAGAGTTTTTTAAATGGAGATCTCTTTTGGGGGGCGTTTCGTTGTTATAATGGAAAGCTTTCGATGAGCGGAATTGAAATGTAATTTGTGTCCCCATATCTAATTTCCAGTTTTCGGAACGAAACTACTATTTGAGCATATGGGAAATTTCGAATAGTGTTGAATGTACGATGGATATTTTTTGCGACGAGCTAAATAATGATGCTATGTATGTTGCTGCACCTTAAATTAACACTTTGTCGTGAGAAAAATAAAAAACCGAGTCGATCATATTGGTTTATCTTTGTAGCAATGAGTCCCAACATGGTTTCGGTGAATTCTAGTAAACTTCAATTAGAATATTAGGTTAAATGTAACGCGAATCAGGTCCGTTCATGTAGGCGTTCATGGTAGCATAATTGCAAAAAAGGATTAGGTTTAGTAGAATAATATCAACGTAATAGCTGTTGGTGTGTCCTATAATGTGGAATAGACTGGGGGTAATATTAATAAGTCAACTAAATTAAATAAATGGCATATTTACTTATGTACAATAGTATGTTTAGTGTAAACAAAAATCAGTCAAATATTACTGTTCTATTTCTATAAAACGTACCATTTTATATCGTTTAAAATAATTGTTTTGCAAATAAATGCTATTCGTGAAATTCAACGGCAACCGTGAGCGCAGTGATGCTGCTGCAGCTGGACCTTTTGTCTAGGTCTAAACCAAATAGACCGCCCATGTCAAAATGGGTTAGCGGACTTAAATGCTGAGCTGTTAATAGGGCAAACGTTCATCTACATCCCATAAGTAGAGTCTGGTAAACAAATTTTACGCCCTAACCTACCTACTAAGTGTTGTGGAATCGGGTGGCAAGACTTTCCAAGGGTATAATGAACTCGCTAAATTAATCACATCTTCTCTTTGCAGTTTAGCCAAGCTCGCCATTAATACATGCCTGAATGCCCCTCCTATAACATCTTTGTCATCCACTGAATTTCTCACCGAGGAATTCATTAGGTCCACTGCACACGTAGGAAAGGCTTACATACTGTTATTCCGTCTAAATTTTAAGTAAGCACTGCATGTAACCGCCTACCCGCTAATACTAATATTCAGCTTACTTCTTCCAGCGTCGTTCTAGCATCGTTCAAAATAGTCTAAATTACTCCCTTATTTGAAGGCAAGGGTAATCGTTGTAGTCCAATAAAATATAGATCTATATCTGCGACCCGTTTGAAAAATGCGTCAAACGTCAGTTTGAAGTGCACATATTTGGCACAATTTTTGCTCTCAATTTGGCTTCCTGTAATAACTATAAAAGCAACATCCACTTCTGCAAGAAGAAACGCCTTTCTTGTAGCCTCGAGTGCTGCCGAAAAAGCGCTTGACAAACCCTGGCTGATGTCGATCGCCTCTTATGACTTTTCTCTCGTCATTTGCGATCAATTGAAACTTCATTTGACCAATTCTTTCCTCACTGTGCACATTAGTATTGCATATACTAGCTAGTAGGGTTACGCGAGGTTCACTTTTAGATCCATTTATATTCATCCTTCATATGAATGCACTGCGAATCCTGTGTAAATAAATTGCGTGCCGTTTATTCTGCCAACGACCTTACTTTGGTAAGACAGAAAATTATTCCCTAACACAAATATCTGTAGATTCGAACGTTAACTAACAGAATATGTCTGTCTTGAAGCTTTTTAATGCTAAATATTAGGTAACCTAATCAGCATTTATAGGACAATCATTTAACAAATCGTTGTCTTGGCTTGACAAAAATTTAACTTTTTATTTAAATCACGCCTGACATCCTCTTAGTATTCAAATATGGTATCCAGAATACAGCATAATACCATTCTGGCTACCTTTGGACCACCAAGATTATCAAAGCTTCTCAATGGGCAGAACATTTCCACTTCTTCACAATCATGTACGGTGCGAATTTGTTGCCGTCACGAATAAAATGACGTCTGATTCCCAAGCCTGTCAGCCTTTAGGACACCCTTTCAACAATGTTAGCTCAACTGACCGCTCGCAGAAGCAACGTACTACCTTCCGCAAATTATCGACGCAGATATAGTTAGAATTTCTACCACCCTATATCAGCTGCATCGAAAACCAAAACGTATCCGCTTAAAATTACTAAGATGCTTGCCGTGCAGCTATTTGTTGCTGACAGTATCCTGTTGTTGTTGTTGTTGTTTCATGCTACAGTTACGTTACATTAAACTATCATGAAGTTCTAGGCCGATGTCAACCTGTTAAAGGTTGTATGTTTGAATAAAGTTTATTTCAATCCCAAATTTTAAATGCTTTTCTGCTTACAGCCAGTTGTATTTGACTGTGGCCCAGTAAATGCTCATATTTTTTACATGTTCAACTTTTTATCTGTTGGCATCTGCGTGTTTTTCTTCTGATTAATTCTTATTATAATTCTTTTAATTGATAATTTAAAATAACAATAAATTTTGCTCGATCTGATCATTTATTGCCTTGATTCCCTTACTCAACATTCGCTCAGCGCCATAATGACAGCGAACAGCGTTTAAATAAAGCAAGAGACAATAGGCTCGAAGTATATCCTGGACTTCGACTAAGATCTATCGCCGTCCGTTTCCTGTTCTCTAGTTTTTTTCCCCTATAATTTTATGTCGTTCTCATAGTTAGGCGTTGGAAATCACGAACAATACTTTCGATATGTCCTTTTAAGATCAAGGTAGCAATCTCATAATGGAGTGTAGAAAAACGAGATCATCCTTAAGCTCAAAAGGCTCGTACCTTAGAGCGATGCCTTTGAGCTTAATGGGCCATTTGACAAACATAGGTGTATAAAGCCAAAATATTAAATATCACCTCCCAGAAATCTCATCCTAAGCACGCTTTCGTATCTCCTCGTCATTGTGATTCTTTCATATGAGTAAACCCGATGCGACTCAATGCATGTCATCATGACGGCGAAGGATCGCTTGGGCTTCATATGAGTCACGTAAACAGGTTTATTTATTTCTAGAGGCACGGGGGATTTAAGCGAAGATCAAAAACAAAGGCTTCACGACGCTTGCATCTCTTTGGCCATTCTAGCACCGAGTGTGCTGATCCCTATGACGAAAATGCATATTCTTCAATAATGGGTGAGTGCAACTGAACCAATGGGACTTCACCTTAAAACAAATGTACACTCGCTGTAGCTTATGGTGTTTATTTGGTGGCTTAGCATAGGTGCTGATCGCTGCCGCTCCATTGGTCCTGGTTCCATTATATCTAAAGCGTACTTTCAATATTTGGAAAAAATTATGCTTAAAAAGGCAAAGTTGTTAAAGAGAGCTAGTCGTTCGTAATGGATCACAATGCTAAACCTTATATTGCAAGAATCGTGATAACACAAATGCAGGAACTACGCGACGAGGCTCTTCCTCATCCACCATACTAACCATGCATTGCTTCTAGAGATGACCATTTTTTCCAAACTCCCTACAGTTCCCTTATAGAGTAAAATTGCTCAAACCTCGACATGCCAAAATTGTCTTTCAGAACTCTCGTACCCCAGATTTTTACAGCTGTATAATAGATAAATCACTGTCCAAATGACAGAAGTCATGAACAATAGTGGGCAATATTTTTATAGAAAATTCACTCTCCCAGATTTCGCAAAGTAGAATAACCAAATGCATAAAAATCACGTGCTGATATGATCAGAAGTGTATAAATTTTTTGCCTGTTTAAGCAGAAGGCATTTGTAAGTAAAGTCACTAAAAATTCTATAGCGATGCTTATTTCGTTAAACCCGTAAAAGAAACGTACCTTTGGAGGGTTTTAAAAGATCGAGTGGGCAAGTCCGGCGCGACGTAAGTTAAGCTTTCAACATCTTGTGCTGTACGCACAGTTATCTCCGGAGACACTTCAATGGCACGTATCGGTGGTTGTGGCGGATTCTCTGTGGACAGCGTGGAAGCAGATGCTCGCGCGTATGAAGCGCGAACGGTTGTAGTGCTAACCGGAACAACTTGTGACGCCGTAGGCGCCATAGTAGTGGTAACCGTAGTCGGCATAGAGGGTAAGGATGCTGCTATTGGTAGGGGTAAAGTTGCTTCTAGGGGGTCAGCTTTTAGTTCACAGTTGGTTGAATCACTGCTCACATTTTCGGGCCAGAGAAAGTCACTTGAGCGGCTGGTGCTTCCCGAGGCTGTGCGCGCCCTCATTGACTCGTCATATACGGCCGTCGTCGTCGTCGTCGAAGTCTAAAGCCACCACGCTCGCTCTATAATTAGTTTACGTATATGATCTATAAGCACAATGATTCCGTGAAACTAAACTAATTACTGTAACCCAGGCGCAAATCCTATCACCGCTTTTGAAATAAACGATGTTGGCATGAAATCAAAAGGATCCCAGCGTTCACATAGCCCATTATGGAGTTCGAAAGAGGACCCGTCTGGGGCAACCGGAAATGGAGGCGGTGGTTTCGAAACCGGAGGATGGTGCTTCTTGCATTCAAAAGAGCAGGAAAGGGCAGATTGCTAACAATAAACCCAGCTGAACACTTAGGAATCCATGGAAAAAGTCCTGCAGGTAGGAAAGGGTAGTTTAATGGTGGGAACGGGGAGAGAGCAGTGGGCTTCGATCCGAGGGAAAGAGTTTGATTTTGAAGAGGGAGAGAGGCAAGCTCCCTCATTGAACTCAAAGATCGCATGTAATGGCACTTCACAGGGGATGTAAAGTAACATTAGATGCGCCTGAGGTGAATATATCAAACGAGAGAGAGAGAGAGAGAGAGAAAATGTTTGCGCTGTTGGAAATTAATAGATAAGGCCTTAAATAAGGCCCACAGGGTCACTTCGTAGATATAATTTTACAGATTGCTTTTACTAAACACAGAATATCTATCTGGTGAGCGAGCTTTTCTCCTAGCTGTTGTGAAATCATATCATCATCATCAGGCTTATCAATGAAGTGCTACGTTCACCTAAAATGTTTAACATAGCACTTGACTTTTATAAGTGCAAATATAGTGGATTAAATTATAGGTTCGTGCCGTTTTTAGTAATCGTTTTCCTCCTCTGACAGTGTGTAAGCTGTGAGGTCCATTGCTAGAACCTTGCAAGCGCTCGCACAAGCTCTTTGGCTGCCAAATCTTTTACGTTGACGGCACAGATATTCCGGACTGCTTAGGCAACTTTTTACGCGAATAAGAAAGGCTAAAAACGCTGCTTTTGTCAATCGACACAAGCACTAAGGCAAGTATTATTATAATAATAGCTTACAGGACGCAGAAGGAACTTTTCAAGGGTGTGTAATGCTGGTTCGTCAGCAAACCTACGATTGGCAAAGAACTACACTGAACTTATGATTGAAACTAGTATCTCAACATCCACTATATGTTCTTCTTAAATTTCTATACATAATAATAAAGGAAAAAATAATTGTTGCTACTTAAATGAAAAACAATTTTCATCAATGTCAGAACCGATTCAGTCAGCCTATTTAGTATCGATGTAAAATACGTTGTCTATTATCACTGAGAGATGGTGCGTACAATGTTTCGTATAACTTAGTAGCATATTTCGAACTTCTGTGTGCGATGCCGTAGTTAAGCGCTGCTACAAACGGTCAGGATCCAGCATGAAAGAGGTACGCTTCACCCTTGATCTCTAACGCGAAACCGCTCCACTTAATTCCAGGCTAATAGAGAAACACGTTATCACTACTATCATACGTATTTGAGTTCTGCGAACCAGACGAAGCCCAGGGACGTTTTGTGTTCTCAAATGTGATGATGAATGAGAAAAAAAATTTAGAGAACTTTATTTCTTTATACATGAAGTTCTCATTGCAAATTGCTCTTGTCACGTCGGGCCTAATTGGCGAAAATTACCTGCGTTTGCCTTGCGCCTCTGAACCTATCTCGGCTCACAATTAACCTAATGTATAAACAACCCTTGTTTATGTAGACAAGCGATTTATTAACACATTTCTCTTTGCTCATAAATTCCAAACACGAATTTTAACAACATTTCGCTAGTATGTAGGGTGAGAAAATCTATAAAATTCCAACTGTCATCTGCTAATACAAACTTTTAATCTTCCGGAAATCTTTATATTTCTACTCTTAAAAATGCCAAACACGAAGCTCTGTTCATAAAGTTTTTTCGTCCAGCTTAGGCAGCTTACGTCAATCACCTTATTTGTTTGAATCATTTCCAAAAACTCTCCAATATGTATAGATACGTATATCTGTTTTATATCAGACTATCTACAAAATATAGATATCACAACGATTATTCGATGGAAAAAAGATGTTGCCACAATACTGCGACAGTATTTGGACTTGTTAAACCGCATACGGCTACTTAGATAGTTCACGTTCACGTTTACGTCCGATACTGTAGCAAAGAGTTGCCACAGTCACATTTGTCTACTTGTAAAGATGCTTATTGTATAATAAAAGGTAAAAAGATCAGATTCCGTGCTCAGTCCACTCTGTATCAGTGTGATAGACATAATATATGGTCTACACAGAAGTTAATTTGTGTTTTTTTTTAGTAGATAAACGCGCTGCTCGGTTAAATTCGAACAACAAACTAATTTGCCGTCTCTCTTCGCGACCTCTTCCTATCTCTCGATCAAAGTGTATATCCCTTCTCGTCAGAAATTTTCAGGTTTCATATATCTAAAATCTTATTCACTGTTAGATATACGGTTACTAATTTATTTCGTAATCATCCATCCGAGTTAAATCTGGAAAGTATGGTGAATGTAAAATGACTTTCCACCCAGATTTTTACAAGGCTATCCTTAGCGTGCGTGAGCCAGTGCTGAAATGAAAAACGATGACCTTATTTCGTCTACCGAATCTTACTCGTTGGATAACGTTGTTCAATCAGGCCTTTGTAGATTGTCTTATTCTTCTCAGACATTTTTCAGTATATATAACCCTCCTAGTCCCGCCAAACGCAAATGATCACCTTTTGGGAGGAGAGGCTTGCTTTAACGACGGGTTCTATTAATTTTACCTTTATTTTATGTAGGCCTAAAGACAGCACTTCTTATCGCTGGTAACAGTTCTGCATAACGAACTGTCATAGTGGCTGCATGTTGCTCGGTGTCGGACGAAGTGTTGTTGGGAGGTGAGATGAAGCCATCACTCTCTGTGACGTTCATTCTGTTCATGGAACACCGAAGTTCCTAACATTTGGATGAACACCATAAATCTAAGGTGCTTATCGACGTACAACAGTTTATTTTTCGTCCCATCCGCGAATCGTTAGTTTGCTATGATCCTCCAAAAGTGTCCTCAACCGGTACCGACGCTTCTTGCATCACCAAGATGCCACTCTTGAACTGCGCAAACCACTTTTAATCAGTCCTCGAAGTTATGGGGGTCTTCACCGTACCCGCCATTTAATACGTCATGCTATTTGACTTCGGCAAAAAGTTAAAGGCAAAAAGTTAGTTGCCAATTTGAAATATTCGGAGCCTACACCTAAGATAAAATTTCGTTCACTGCATAATGAAATTATAGCCGGCTTTCAAAAAAAAAGAACACTTCTAAATAACGCTATATGCGTTCCAATCTAACATATGCATTTATTAAATTAATTCAGTATCTTTTTCTCTGGATCTTTATAGAATGCATAAGGCCTGTTTCTTAACTTAGTGCAACTTATATACATGAAAGCAAACATCTAGTTTTCACCATTTTATATCGACCATAATAAGGAATTCGTAAGAAAAAATTTGCAACATTTTCATATGAATCGGTCACGTACGGAACTTTATCGCTGGTCATACATAGCTTGGCATCAGTTCCGGTTCAATGCTGCTATCCAAATAACTGATTGAAGCTACTGCATAGACGTCGCTATAGTGTAGCGAGAATACGCCACGCGCACATCGTTTGTTTATATATATATATATATATATATATATATATATATATATATACACATACATACATACATATAGTTCAATAAACATACAACAGTACAAAAAGAAACCTTCACATGCCATACATAGTAAATCCAATGCTGACAAATCCATGTATTGTCTGTATTTACAAATCTGTTGCTTTTCCATTTATTGATTCCCTATTGCTTATTATCATCTACGTACCCATTCTACTAACATATCTGCAAACGTATCACGCCGTTAAGCTAAACTTCCTCACATTTGAATCGACATCGATTCCTTATCGATGAGTTATTACCTATTTCACTAAGTATGTGGTAACACACCAGAAAAAAATGTGTCTGCCAAGTTGCCAAGAAGGAGCTGTCACATTGCCAGCAGAACTTTTTGTACCTCGTGGAAGATCTACAATGGTAAGAATATTTCATAGTCACGATAACATTCGAGGCGAAGCTAATACGCGTGTCCCTGTTTGCGTGAAACGCACTGCGTGAGCCAAAGAATAACCCCCTCCCATTCTTCCTCTTTTGAGGCAACACGCATTTCAGCACTTCATTGAAGACTATATGATCAGGAGCCAATCCTACTGATCTGCACAACTGTTCACCATCATTTCTATAGCGAGCAGAAGGCTTTGGCCGCAGATCCCTTCGATGCGCTTTGAGTTGTCTGACAATCACGATACTTTTTTTAACATACGCATTTGAAGGTGCTACTTACCCATCATTCTGCTTGTAGCCAACATCAAGAGCAAATATTTTACAGGATATATTTGTGACGTACGATCATTTAGGCTTTATTGTCAACGATGGTGTCATTTGTGCCACGTACAAATGTACCCATGAGCCAAAGAAAAGCGCTGAAGTAAGGGGGAACTGAAGGTAGAAAAAAAGGCCACGTTCTATATGGATGTCCATCTAACATCTTCTAGTTGCATACACTGGGGAAAAGTGGACCAAATGTCTACTAACTTGCTATGGGACGTATGTGCATATGGGTTCGTGACTGGATTCATATAGCTTAGAACAATGCCACTTTTCTCATGGAAGACCAAAGGGAAGATCAAAATGATTCTGAAGATTTTCGATGCCTCCAAAACGAATAGGCAAAGCTTAGTATTACCCCAGTCTCGATCATGTTTGCTTCTCCTCAAATATTTGACAATTTTTTATAACTAAGGAACAAACGATTTTCATATATTTAACAATATTATATGCCATTTGAGATACGTTGAATATGCAGGCACTGTTCTACGGCTAGTAAAGCCTCTCTGTATTTTGACGCTATATATTCAAAATGCTGCTAAATGTACCCTAATTTTAATGTATTTTATTTATTAAACAGCACGTTCTCTAAGCGAGTAAGCTTGCTGCGTTGCGTGGGGCTATATAATTATTAATAGTGCGAAAGTTAAGGCTTCTTTTTATTTAATCATTTATTCGGTAGAATAAATATTGTTATTCCGTTAGAAGTTTGATGATCTAAAATCGATAATTTGGTTTTATTTTTTGCGACTTCACGCGTAAGTTCGAATAGAGTCTTTCTCTGTCATACAGCCATTCATAACTGTAGTAGTGATTACTTGAAATGCATACGCTAGTATTTTTAGTTTCAAGATTTTTACTTTTGCCTGCTCTATGAATCTCTAGCCAGCTGCAGTAGTCTCTGACTTTTTAATTACTCGATTTTGGTAGTGCAGTTATAAAACATAAGTAATAACGATTTTGTTGAAGGCTTTCATGTGTATTTTGCCTACAAGCAATGTTATATGAAAATTGTTCAGTTGAAATTCAAGCAGCTTTAAAAGTCGAAGTGGTAGCAAAAAAAGGTAACAGAGGTCTCTGATATGATGATATTAGGGATTTACTAACGGATTAAATGCATAGCCAATGTATCACGTTGTGATAAACATATTTTTTTTAATATATAGAGAGACAATATCCGTATCCGTGTTATGGATTTTTAAAAAATTAATATCGTGCATAGGTAGCAGTAGTTCTTGCATCTTCTTTGTATCACAGTTTGACGTGCTCGTTTGCTAAAGGGATCACTTTTTCTATATTCGGATATTGAGGATTATCGCTGCGTTAGCATATACATATCAGCACTAGAAATGACTATGAACGAATAAATATAAACCTGCGGATATCATTTAAAATTTACTATCAATGCGGTAATAATAAAAAAAAAAATGTATTACCCAAAAATATTGTGCCATTCAGTTATTCTATTAAACGTTACAGTGAAGTGTACTTATAAATCGAAGACGATCAGGAAGCCTTTTACTGAGATATATACAAAAAGGATCCGGTTTGACAATACATCGATGGTATGCCAAGTTACGATTAAAACTAGACAAAGACAAAACCCATATGCGGCTTTACCTGCTTGCTACAAGCATTAAATATTTTGACATAATTTCATTCAGCTTCACCAACGAACTTTTTGCCGTATGCAAATTTGAGTCTTCATATTCTTAGCATGGTCTAAATAGTGTCGTTAATGGCATCACACTCTCGATCTTCGATCCTGAGAAGAACGTCCGAGAATAGTTGATCTCCCGCCGAGTTATATGCGTCTGTGTAGTCGATGCGTCGTTCACCTGTGTGCGAGGTCGTTCTTATCCAGCGACACGGGAGAATACGCCCTGCAGCGCCCTAGTGATGGCATCACCATCGTCGCAGTCGGTGATACCATCAGTCTTCAAATAACCGAACAATTTTCCCTTTACCCTTCGCTTGTTACCAGGTCCATGGACTGGCCCCGTACCGCGTCACTGCGTGACACTCCAATGGCGTTTCCTGCAGCGGTAGGCAGCCGCCGTGTTCAACATTTGGACAAGACAGCATAGGCCGAGATGGCTTTCAGGAGAGAGGACCGCGACAACGTTGTTGTTTCCCAGTGATATCACCGCCTCTCTAAGTTTCCCTTTGCCCCTCGGCGTCCATCCGTTAGCTTCGACTAGCCAAACCGTTCCCGGTACCCGGCAAGTCAATAGTAAACCTAGAGAAAACCAGTAAGGCTTCAGTCTTATGAGTGTGGTCCTCAGTATATTCCTTGTACATGGGAGGGCAGGTATCTGCAGTATACTCACATCCCTACTGTGGTGATCCCAAAGGAAAAGCGATTGGCACCGATGACCACCAGCATAGCCGGCATACGACAGGCAGGCTGCCAGCATCGCTTTATGGGTAGTTGGTAGTTAAGGGGAAAAGTAAGGGACCGATCAGGAGTAAGGATAGCACCGGGGAGGAATGTATGTATATATATAGGGTTTTGTGGGCTACTTGTGGTGGCGATGGTGGTTCGTGAAGCGAAAGAGTCACGCCGGCTCCATGCCGCTACCCTCACCACTCACAGACTCCTCATTGTGCGGTGAGCGAGCGGAATAACCCCCGTCCAACTAAGGCACCCACACGCACGCTCTGACTATCCGTCCTTCCGCTCCCGGTTCTTGAACTACGACTCGCCTAGTTGCATTCACGATAGCGACTAGTTCGTAAAACAAGTTTGCAAGCTGGCCACGGTTTCTCTAATTATTCAATTACGCCTCGTGTGGCTTTTTTTATATTTCTAAGAAAATCCTCCAGGTCGACGGGTGAACTGATAGGTAAGTCAAGGACAAATCGTCCATGTTTTAATAAATGTGGCAGCCTTGTTTGTTTTGGGGCAGAGAAGGGTAGTACGATAAACAAACAGTTGATATATGTACTGCCTACCTCAATATCGGCGTTCTGATGGAAACAGAGGCAGAACGAACGGCCCGTGGGTGGGTTGATTGCGTGCAAGCGCAAGCGGTTTCGTCGAAGAACCATCGAATTCACTTGCACAGAGTGAGTTGGCCGATGGGGGCTTCGGGGCTATATTGGGGGTATGGGGGCACCAGCACAGAGCGTAGAGTAGCAGCGATCGATGCGAAGGCCGCAGCCGACTCACGCCGAGCGGCGCAGGCCGACTAGCAGGAGCGCCCAGACACGCTCACTCACTGCACGAGCTGCTCAGCAGCGGCAGCTCATTCACTACTAGGCATCCAGAAAGAGACCCAAGAGTAGCTAACGGCTGTGGCGGCGGCATTAACGCTGCGCCGCGTCCCTCCTCCAACGCAGGAAACTCCGCATCCTCCGCGTCGTCTTTGCGTCGTGAGCTCTACTTGACGATTGACTAGCTGCTCCCAGTTACCTATTGTAACAAGCACACTGGGCGTTTCGCACTCTCAACACGATACACCACTAAGCTAACAGATTTCATCCTTAACGCCTTCCGTTACTCCACCCAGACAGATCATATCATATCGCTGCATCATTTGGGAATAGCTACTGTAAGTGTGAAGTAATTTACCCGATAAGCTACCCCAATTTTGCCACACCACATCCCCGCCCGCTTACAAGTATCATTGAGTGAAATGTGTTACGTGCCAAATGCAAAGAAGGGAAATATGCTCTCATATGTGCTAGCTAGTTAAATTGCGCCAAAAACGTATCGGATTGACATGTGGTGAGTGGTTCAAAGGAGGATGCGTGTTCGGAAATGAGCGTTACCACTGTACCTATGACGCTTATTACGCCAGTGCCGCCTGCCGTGACGCAGGTGACCGTTGGGGCTAACGACGGTGGAGGAACTGCCGTAGATCCCTATTCGAAAGATGCAATCAATCAGCTCTTTCGTCGACAGCCCCAACGTTTCAAGTTTGTTAGCAAGTTTAACGCCAAAAGTGTGTCATGGAAGGACTTCGAGCTAGTCTACCTCGACAACCGGCTCAAGGACTTTGCACGTTGTGTGCACTGTAAAAGCTTTGTAACGTATTCGAGCAAGAAAGGCACCGGTGGCATGCTACGTCATCGGTGCGTCGGCAAAGATGGCCCAGTGCAAGGGGAAACCCCAGCCAAAAAAATTAGTCTTGCTCCAAAGCCGCTCACGATCGTTACTGCGCCACGTACACCAGGCCAGCGTCCCGCTGGCCAACTGTGCACTCTGCTCAATTTGCAAAGCCATCCAGGCCAGCCAGGCAATATACAGACGATAATCTATAATCCTGATCAGGGCAACGTGCTCAACCTTCAGAACCTCACAAAGCTCGGTTTGGCCGTACAAGCTGTCAAGGCGGGAACTACAGCGTCCGCAGCCGCTGTCTCGGGAACAACGAGTGCAACACCTACAACTACCGTATCGATAACGAAGGTCGAGCCGAAACCCGAAGTGAAACAGGAGGTGAATAGTATAATCAAGGCAGAAAGCGCAGAGGTTGCCATCAAAGAAGAGCAAGCACCCATAGATGAGGTCGACGAAGCAGATGGAACCAATAATAACAACAACGACGACGTTGAGCAAATTGTATCCAATGTTGAACTAAACGAAGACGTCAGCTACGGGGAGCCGTCTTGCGATTCCGAAGACGAAGATAATTGTCAAGCGGACACGCGCAATTCAGATTATGGCCTTATATCGGCTCCGGCAGAAGTTCAGCTAGCGGACCTGCAGGTAAAGCACGAGCTCGAGCAGCATAACGCCCGAATGGAAGTATTCCGCCGGCAGCTCGAGGTGGCCGACCTACAAAAAGAGTTCTGGAAAACCAAACTTAAAGCACTAAACAAGAGTTCGAAGACGTCTGAGGATGACGGAATACATTCGGATGACTGATTATCATAAGTCATACTAGGTTTCGGGCTTGTTTTGATTATTTGCTCCAACAAGCTTGTATGATCCTACCAATTCATGTGATTTAGGAAAAAGCATAATAACGGTAATACAAACCTGTGTGTGTACACGTGCCAAAAAGTACTGCGATGGGATCAGAGAAGGGATGGAATCTATTTAACAGTCTATCAGCATAGCATATTAATAAGTACGCGCCAAAAGGTGGAAAGGATGATTTTGACTACGCGCCATTGTGCCATAAGGCAAACGAATCCATAAGGGCTAGTATGCCATCATCACAAGATTTAAACAAGTAGTCATTTTGCAATATTTAAGTGTTTAAAGCACAATTGTTTTCGCCTTTGTTCATTACTTCTTTTTTAAATGCTTCGTTTCCCGTTGACGGCCGAGTGCTATGAATTTCTAAAAAGCTTTTTTGCTCACTAACGTCCATTAGTAAATTTCGATCTCGAATTGAGGTTTTCGAAAATTGATATATTGTTTCTCCTAACATAACATTATATATAAAATTAACAAGTTCAAACTGTAATCAATAATCACGTTTTAGGACTTTACTGAATATTTTCTTTGTTAGCTTTTTAAATTCGTTCTTACCTTCTATTTGGTTTCTATTTCTTGCCCGATGATTTCTATATTAGGTATAATCTGTATTTTATAAAATCCTACAATAGTCGTATTTTAAAACGTCCATACATCCACCTTGAGACCGAATTCGAGGTAAAAATATGGTTGCAACTAAGCGATGATTACAAAGTTGCAGGGCAACGAAAGGGCTTCCCGACGTTATATAACACTTAATAATCTGCAAATAAAAAATTGGACAAACAAAGCACTACACAAAAGAAACGACCTTTTCTGCACCGAACAAAGCAATCAGGGTACAGACTAGAAGTAATAAAGGCTGAATCTCCAAACGCTGACTAAGCGAGGCAAACTCGAACCCAATTTGATTGCAAAATCAATGAGCTGAGTTATGAAACTTGGGTAATACTAACAAAAAGGCCAACACATTGAAAAAATAGTATTCACTACGACAACTGAACATAATGTGTCATGTGCAACCGAACAACATTTGTCAGCAAATGTGATATATATATATATATACTGGTGTAAATAAATATTTAATAATATAGTGTACATAAAAACACGATTCTCTTTCTTTTTTCTCGTTTGGCGAAAGCATTGAAGCAGCTTCTGGTCGCCTGGCTGACCACGAACGAAAGAAATACGACATTCATTTACTGTATGGTAGATCATAGCAGAGTTCTTGCAGTATCAGTAGATGGTCCTCCATCTGAAGTAATCACCAGCTATAACTAATTAAGCGATTATAATTATTTATTCCTACATTGAAAAAAAGCTAAAATAAACAAACTATGATTCGCTATCAAGTATCGAACGCCTATTTCATGCTGTTAACACTTTAAAAGATCGCGTCATCTCCTGCATCGTGTATCGCACGTTCGCTAACCTCCCAGCGTATTGCTTTGAGTCCAAGTTCTTAGAAGTTAAAATTGATAAGTGATTTTTCTAAACTATGCTTTTAAAATGCAGCTCATTTTCCCTTTTAGCTCTAGTCGGCAAAAAACTTATTAAATGAATATTTTTTACATAAAAACAACTCGCTTAGACTAAGATGAAATAGACTTCTGACGATTAATTAGAGAATGCTCTATATCAGTACAATACACACTATAACAAATTATATTGTAGAATTTGGTATGTTATACACTGCACGCAAAACAAGTAGGTAAAACATGAATCAAAATCGTCAAAAAAAGGTCAACTCAAGTACAAATAGCTTAGTGAGCCTCAGTGTACTACTTTCTCTGCTGGTCCATACAATCTATCATAACCTACACTACCAGATGACAAAGTGCCCCGTTCTGTGAAGCCAGAAATTGTCATTCAAGTATTTTGGTGAATTTTCGAGTCCTTTAAATCTAAACCTTATAGAGGGTCTTTTAGCTTGCTTCATGGAAACCTTCTTTGGTTTTTCAGGAGCCACTTGAAGACTGGAAACAATGTATAAAATCGATTTGGGGTAAAAAGGAAGCCTTTAATTTTCGTAAGCGCGAGAAAACGTTGCATAATAGCTGGCCTTCGTTCAAATTCCGACAATGATTTTCGTTATAACGAGTTTGTTTTTGTTGTAGCAAGAAATTACTTTTGTCGTTGCAAGATAAACGCATGCCCGCTACCATAAACAGCCCGCTAACACGTTTACGGATTTGAATACCTCACCCTGCATGAGGTGAGCCAAAGGTCTCTTAACAACTTGAAAAGTCACTTACTAGTTGTAAAGTCTTCTTGTTAGTTTGGTTAATGTATCAAAAAATGCACACAAGATTGCAAGGGGCGAGTTGGATTGAGCAACACAATGTACGAGAAGAGAGATTTCTGTATTCCTATAATGCTACGTTATAGGTATACAAGAGGGTGTTCTGATATTAGTAAATAATGTTATTTGACTGATCACAGTAGACAATTTTGTAGCTGTCCTATTTCAGACATATACAAATGATCTGGCATCAGATTATTATAGGATTATAGAAATGATATTTACGTTTCCCTTTGCTTGGATAAAGCTAGTCTTTACTGCAGTAGTTGGCATACGTTCTGCCTGACGGATGTTAAATGAGTGCGGACTCCCATCTACTAGAGGAGTCAAGATGCTTTGCGCTCACCCTGTACGCATCTCATGTATATCTATATATAATACTAGGTTGGAATTATGTTTCAAATAATAAAAGTTAGTTATTTTTCGAAAATCCGCCACTTTCCAAATCCGACACACAAGATAGCGCCATTTTGGCTCTCATTAGAAAACAAGATTAGAATTGATGGAATTGAACTTATACCGGAATTCATATACACGTCTGCGATCTAAAAGGACGTAATCAAAGAATTCTGCATTATGACCAAAGAAGACTCTTGAATCTTCGTCTGCAAATGAATTATTGACAACGAATGAATCATGATGGCAACTAACTACCCGAAGTTGGACCTTGTCTGAAAAATAACCAAATATGTATATCTGTATGAGGACTTAAAATGTACGTCAATGCAAACGAATTTTCTTTAATTTCACTTCGTTACCATGTTAAAAAATATCCAAAGCGAAACCAAAAAGACCCTTGTTAGCCAAATTCGTGTAAGCTTAAAGACATTGTTTATACCTATGAAAAGAAGGCTCGAAATTACGGCGTAGGGATTGGTAAAATGCACATCTGATCGCATACATAATCCTCTAATTTTTTTTATAATGATTTCTTCTCGAACTCTTTGAACTAAAAGAAGCGTTAGAGTTTTCGATGTTTACGATTACGGTCGATTAAATACATTATATGATCAATGAATTCCAAATGACGATAGAGATTATTGGACCTAGAGGACCTAAATAGATTTAGGCATCTTATAGAGCCATATACGAAGAAGTAAGAACATGTATCCATTCGTCGCTGATAGGAAACATTGACAACAATGAACTGTAATGCAGTGCATTCCGCTAACTATCCAAGTGCAACGTCGGTATAGTCATAGTGAGTACCTATGTCTTTTTTAACTACGGACAAATTTATAACAATGATAAGCTGTAATTCTAAGCCGCTTATAGACTACCATGGATATTCTTTTAAATGCTAGCTGGCATTGTTATCGTTAGCGTGTATAAAACGAAACCAATAGTTTTGGACATATACATAGCGACGACTGGCTCGCAGGCAAAATCTCCCATTAGCAAAGTCTTAGTTATATAACAGACAAGCCAAGGAAAAACTAAGTTCTTATATTATTATAGTTCATATATAGCTTTAAGAAGATTTGCTGAACTGTAGTACGACTGCAGCCAAACGAGTTCTTAGGGTACGCTCCTGTAATCTGCTCGCGAAGTGCGAGATGAAATTGATGTAAAAAGTTGCATCAGTAGAACAAAGCCCAATCAATAGACGCTCAAGTCGTGTGCGGTGCTTGTCATTATAGCTTTTGTTGCGTTATTACGTTTAGGTTATATATGGATTCGGTTATGTTCGGATTCTTATATATATTCGCTGCAGTTCTCATAAAGAGCTCAATGTCGAAATATAAAAACATTTGTAAGTGCTATTGCTAACTTTTTGCTGTTACCCAATTATAGTAAAATCAAGCAGGTCTCTTCCAGGCCATTCAAGCAGTCCATCCTGCAAGCGAAGCTATGAGCAGCCTTGGATATTCGACGTTATGATAGCATGCGTATATGCAGGTTTCCTAAGTCTAATTAGTGTCGTTTTGGAGGACATCATTCAAAATAAGTCATACGTACATTAGGAAACCGAATGCACTCCTTATTTATAAGGTAGTATTATAGTCGTAGTTTACTTTGGCGTGCACCTAGTAAGGCCTTAATAATACCAGGACGCGAACCGCCGACAACCACTGGAAATGCAAGTCTCCCATGCCAAATTTATGGTGTTAAGACCAAGGTTTTGGCGCCGCTATGACAATTTGCTTAATCAGTTGAATTTAAATCCAGTCTTTGATTATTCGGTTGTATTCCCGGTCATATATCAACCATATTCTATGTTAACTACCGGCCGCTCTTGTACAATTGAGCGACTTACACAGTTTGACAAGCTATTTTTTTAAACGGCTTAAATTGTTTAGTACTTGAAGTAATCACTATGCTACCTCAGACCGTAGCTCATGCGTAGCACAGGTAAAATGACAACAATGAAGTTCGGTAAGTAAGATGTTTGCCAACAATTTGGGCTTTACAAATGAATACTATGTTGTTTCTGTTTAACTATGCTTGTTTTTTTGTTATTTTGAATAGCAGCTTGTGACTAGAACAAAGAAAAATACATATTATTTAATATAGCTTCGAAGTATCCTTCCTTATTACTTACATTACCTCAGCAAACTTTCATGTGGCCCTTCTTATTACTTAGCAACGCTCTAAAAGCGTTTTGGTAGCTATATACATACCGATATTATTTATGGCTTTTTCGGACAAATCGCCATTTATACCAACAAGCTTCACTATTGTATATAGGCAAGTAAAACGAACTTCTGTGCAGTGAAGTCGTTGCTCAAACTGTGGCCCCCGACTCCAGCAGTTACTCCAGTTTGCAACTTGACGTGGTCCTGCACCGTTAGTCGTTTGTCCTTGAATTAAAAACAAATCGATTATTGACTAATACCTTAAAATTACTTCGTTATGTACAGCAACTGTCATTGTCCAAGTAGACTTTTTTTTTTTTTTTTTAATCTAACAATGGTATTGAACTAAGTTAAATTTGACCATGTCATCTAGTGAGACCTAAGCGCCGTAACGGAATAGGTTAGACCTATTGAATAGGATTTTGTAGGTTGAACACAGCATTGATAACCTAAATTAATAAAAAACATAGTTTTGAAAAATGTTGGAATTTTCGGCATTGTATGATTTCTGTCCTATCCGACGGATATTTCAGGTTCCCACCTTTATTTTAGTCATAAATTTCTATAGATTTATGGGTTTGTTTGTCAGTTAAGAGCTAAAATGAGGTCTCCTGACGCTGAAAGGTATTAGTATTTTTTACGTACAATATGGACATAATCCTTGATGATTTGAATACTAGAATAGATAGACCAAACGAGTTGCGGACAATTATGTTTCTTTAGAAAAGTTTAGGTTTGACATAATTACGGATTTAGTATCTTCTAGATCTAACAGCCGATGGGGTCGTCTGTGGACTTATATTTAACGAACGCCCATAGAGATCAAGTCCAGTTCACGAGGCTTAATAATTCACTTTTTCTATATATGCCGATGACCTTGTTCTGTATAGCTTGAGTTGACACCACCTTCCAGAAATATGTTGATAAATTGAGTTTAGTCGTCGACTTGTGAAAGATAAATGCCATTAAGTCTCTTCACGGAGATCTTCTTCTAAAGACATTTCGGTTCTGCAAGAAGGTGGTTCAGTACGTTGATTCCTTTACTTTCTTAAAGATAACACTGCACCCACTGGACAGTCATTCAAAGTACATATTATCCAAAAAAACATGAACTCTAGTGGTAGCTGCAGCAATAAAGGACCTGAACACGTTCATACTACAAACAGCCCTACCCTGTTTCGACTTAGAAGAAGCCCTGTGCGTCGCGTTGAAATACCGTTAATCGGGAAGCACCTCAAGATCAATCAACTCCGCGATTTCGACCGCGTGAAACTGGCCTTTTACGCCTGGGATGCAGCCTGAAATTTTTCATTTCAGCAAAGAATGGTCTTGTATATTTGCTCGCCAACACGCCACTATTCGCCGAACAGCTCAAGAAACGATTTCAGTTTTCCAACACAAAAGCTTACTGGGAACTTCAAGAGAGAGAAGTATATAGAATAATCTACATTGATCCGAATTTTTACCTGACGGAAGCGTTCTATTAGAATTATAGCCTCAGCATTAGCCACCGCGTTGTGACTCGCGATAACATCTATAGGTATCTCCATGTTGTGTATTAAACATCTGTCGACCACGACCCCAGACGATCGCAGACACGAGGGTTTAAATCCCTGACACTGTATTCAGCATTATTCAACAGCTTTTTTTCGCAAAATACTGGCGCGTTCACATTAGCCAGACATCACAAGGTCCGTATCACAAAAGAGACAACTACAATGGTATGCTCAAATGATATTTCACAAAGAAGCATCTACGTTTTCCAAGCATTCACCTCTGAAATAAATCAGTCACCATTGTATTGATATCACATTATGTCATATTAATTTAGCCAAGATAGTTCAATTGAAATTTCAACTATATTAACTACACATTTCGAGTTCCACATCGGGTACCGCCGTTGGGCGTTCTATAATGCGGCTGGCTCCTAGCTCGAAACAAAGTGTCTATTCTGGGACTTGGACTTATACCATCCAACATGCCTCCGGACAACTATAACGCAAACACGTTATCCACTACGCTATTACGGGGATGCCATACGACCATTATAGAGAAGCTGGGCTGTTAACTTGGCACTTATTTGCGGCATTCGCAATCACACTACGTACTTGAGAAAAGCAAATGACCGGATGCCTAATAAGAAGTAGTAAAATTGTACCGCTTTTTTTCAAATGACCAGAACCCTAGCAACGATCGATATAACAGCCTCCTAACTACAGCCCTCAAATACTACATCGTCCCAAGAAGGCCACCGCCTGGCAGACTATGGTAAGACTCCTAATGTTCTCGCAAGAAAGTAATACGAGCAGAAAAATTGTACAAATTCTAACCTATTGCAAGGCTACTGGAAGCTAAAACTAAAACAGTTTTCAATAACTGTCTCAAGAGTGGCAACATCAAATTTGAAATAAAAAAAAGCAATTTTTTGAGGAAACAGCAAAAATGCCTTCTGCATGGCTGCGAAGTACTATTAGCTATTCCAAGCTGTTCAGTCGGCCCCGAGGGTCTACAGGCCTACTTCCAAACTATTGTCGATGCCATGTGCATTGTTGTGGTCAACATATTTTACCACACGTCTGTCTGGTTTGCCGAGGATTTCGGACGATTTGCAGGTTTCAAAGGGAAGATTGTTTTTCCCGCAGTCGAGTCAGGAATCTTCATACAAGCACGAAAAAGGCATACGGTCCTGACTGGATTCACAATGAACACGTAAAAGAAGAATTTTCGTTTGTTTATGGCTGGATAATGTTATTAAGCCCACGTATATGGTAAAAAAAAATTAAAATATTGAACGACGTTGACATCTTAAACCGAAAAGGAGTCCCAACAGACCCTAAATCGTACGAAAGCATAACTAAAAAAGCTATACCTACAGAATCCTTTCTGTGTAGCCAATACAACGAGAAGACTTTTACCTAGAGTATCTTGAAGCGCTACCGGAAGAGCAGCATTGATTTTGGCCAGGCAGATCAACAATAATGGGATACAAGATATTGTTGGATAGGGCAGAATGGAGAGCGCGCTTCGGTGTCTTTCATTCGCAGCAATTTTTTCATTTAATATCCGTTGCTTTTAGCAGTCTAGCCGCTCGACCCCGGATCGAGGTTCATTGTTTTACACAAACGCGCCGAACAGGGTTAACCGCTACTTTATTAGCATTTAACACAGATATCGTTCAAAAGAACACAACGATCGATGACAAAGTGACCAAAAAATATTGCAGTCACAGGATTTGTACAAATCATAACACTTCCCTACCACTCGTATTCTTGATCATCAACAAGTGAGTTTAACCCCGTATGACGATGATCTTGCAATATATAGTGTGGGCAGGCGTTACTTATAGTGGGCACTGGTGGTGTTGAAGCGATTTGTAGCTGAGGTTTCACTAGAAATAGCAAAATGATGACAGAGACAACTCAATTTAGACGAAGATGGGGACTTGCTAGAAACGACACCTTTCCACTTGATGACGAATCTCTTAAGTTCCTCAACCCATGAACTTACCTCAGTATCACGCTGACGCTAATAGGACGATCATTCAAGGCCTACATCGAAGCACAAAGTTCGGAAAACCATGACTACAGCGCTCGCAATCTAAAAATTTGAACAAAATGTCAGCAGCAACATGAAAGAAACTTTCCAAGCTCAAGTTAGCATTTACTGCTCTCTATGCAATTCACATCATCAGAAGGTACTCAACGCCCAATACGTTGCAACATTCAAGTAAGCTAAGTAAAGCATATTTTTCAAGCAAGCGTTATAACTGCGTACGACAACAAGTAATCGACCAGTAAGCGTATCTTTTGGCTAAAACGGCCCTCCTCGTTTTCCAGTACCTCCGTCAGATTTAGAAACTGCTTGAAAATAAAGCGTGCGCTGAACATGCAGAAGCGCAAAAACAGATTAAGACCGAAATAGACATATATTTTTTTCACAATCTCAGGAGGAAGCAAACCAAACAAACGACATATGCGACATACACGGGTTCTATTATTTCGTTTGTCAAGTAGATCCTGCACTTTTAATTGTCAAAGTGGCACGCCGGTATCCGTACTCACATATGGTTAGTCTATGATCTAATATTTCCATCTTTAACCAACACCAGATATGAAGTCGCTGAATTGTGTCAACGCTACGAACAGGATTCATTTTCGTAACATTATGCGTTTGGCACAGCAAGGATTACCCCTACTTCTTATATACATAGAGACATTTCAATTACACCAGAAGTGTAAAATGCAGTGTTTTTCTCCTTCAATCCCTCGCATGAAAGCTGCGCTGTGAGCCTAATAGTTCTACCGATTTTCAATTAATTCTAGCAATGAACTGACCTCAAAGAACTAAAAGCTTGATAATTTTGCATGTTTGAACAAGTTTTTTCGTCAATTTTTTTTCTTACTCTTGGTTGCACAAGATGTCACTTCGAGACCTGCTCTCACATTTAAATAAGTCACACGAGTGGCTCATTCTCAAATACTCCTGTCTGTCCACCAACTCAAACTCACTATCAATCTGGCAACGATTTAAAACTACGCCATTAAAAAGGCGACAGTTTGTTGGACCAAAATCCGTGCTTCCGTATCGACACAACCAACGGCTGAAAACTGACCATTCATACTCTTTTCCTTTTAAATCGAATCTGCAAACTAAACGTACTTTCAGAGCTAAGGCAGTTCAAATTAACGCAACATCGAAGAAAACTGTATATTTGTACGCATCGGTCCCAACGATAGCGTAGCGGGTAACGTGTTTGCCTGAAGAGTCTTGGAACGTGGGGTCGCCCGGGTTCAAATCTAGATGTAAAGACCCTTCGTTTTTTGCTGGGACTCAGCCATCTGAAGTGACGCCCAATGGCTCGAGCACCGGAGGTACAATGTGATAAGCGTGTTAAATAAAACTAGTAAAACTGAATAAGTGTGCGTCACTTTCCATTACATATTGAAGCACTAGAGATGCTGTTATCGTCACAACAGTATAAAGAATGGTCTCACTTCGTGCTCCTTCTATATAGACTTACAAACGCGTCACGCCGTACAATTTATTACTTATAAATACGTTAGGACTTTTTAAAATAGCTATTTTTTCTAATACGAGCATGATTTTCCCAGACATAACGTTTTCACCTTAAAAGTTTCTCAGCTAGTCAGTCCAACCCACAGAAGATAATTAATATATGTACCGTATGAACAATTTCGATTTCATATGATTTTATAGCCGCGATGTTTAAGGCACTGTTTAAGCTTGAAAATTGTTTAAGTGGACGTAACGGCTTTTGAAGAAAGGTTTCGTACGATCATCCTGTTCACTCCTCCTTCTTTCTGGAAACATTCTTTGGGTGTATTGAAAATTGTGACTATATATAGAAGAAACCCACAGAATTAAATACTATAACTTTATCATATCATACCTAACCCTATTATACGTAATGGAATGTACTGTCCACAGAATAAACACCAATTCGCAATTAACACTAAACACAGATTAAATGTCAAACAAAGTTCTATAGTGGCATGAATTGTGCAGTACCAAATTAAACATCCCCACACTGTGTGCTATAACTATGGCATGTTTAACACATTTTCTCAGAGAATTAGTCTTGCGATACCAGAACATTAGTTTTTCTCTCAAACGGTATATCTGAATACTGAAAGCTATCCTCAATCCAGGTCAAAGCGTTGATCAAGGACCGTGATGGATGTAAAAGTCTTCTTATATTCAGAGCCATATGACCTCCACAAAACATGCGTGCGTAATTCATAGCTTTGGCAGGATTACTCGCCTAATGATTAATATTGATGTTTTTATAAGAGTTGTGTCAGGAAACACAGCTTGAGCTCACTGTTGAATAGTTACTTGAGAGGTGTTTATTTATTAAATCATAAGTAATGCTGGTAGCGTTTGTTTATAGAACTCAATAACATTAATGACAGTTGAGCTAATTTTGTTGTTGCAAAGCTTCCATCTTTTCTTGAAATGTCTGCTGGAGCTTCCGTATGGTTTCCTTTTGTGAACTTTGCTTTTGTTCAAGTTCCTTCAGAGTGGCCTCTTGACGTTTCACTTCCGCATTGATGTAGTCAATTCGTTTCTGTACGTTCTTTTTCGCATCATCTTGACTCTGAGAGATCAATACAGGCCCGACCAATTTGAGAATCTGCATGGTAAATATTCAAATGTTAGCTTATTATTATAACAAAAAAATATGACCAACGGTTTAAGAGGGAAAACAGTATAGTAAGAACAAAACACTATACTAAGAGAACAGAGTAGAACTTTTCTAAAACCAAAATCAAAACAAACAATCATAGTATCATTAAGTAGACGGCCCTTACGTCTACCTCGAAAAACGTTTTTTTCTGTTTTTTTTTTTTAACTAGAGAACACCAGTTAATACCCTTTATCGTCGATAGCAACATTTGTGAGAGATTACTTAAGAAATCGCATTTCGGTTATTAACAAATATCATATCCAATTTTCTCCAGCGTGCAATATATATATTTCACAAGACACTGCTTTAAAGAAACATTTACACTTCACATTAATTTATATTTATTTTGATCATCTTAGCAGACCTTTCGGCTTATCAGTCTATTCATTGGGCTAAATTTAGTCACAAATATCGTTCTTGCAGTCCTTTTATTCACGCAGTTGTTTTATGCACAATCTACTGGTAGCAGTTCCCGAAAAAAAAATAGTTCTTCCATTTGACCAAGTGTCTTATTAAAAAATTTATAGAAAGCCGTTTGCAGCATAATAAATTAATACGCAATTCATTTATTAACGTTATCTCTAGAATGTATGAATTACAGCAATAGATATAATACCACTAGTATAATTAATAGCCGTTCTATAAATAACAAGCTACTCTTTTCATTTTTAAACCTAATGTGCTAATTAATGTTCTTTAGAGTAATGAATGACTTCAAAAATGTCTACGTGTAAATTATAACGATATAAAAGAAATACGAGTTACGTGAACGAACGATCGAACTATACCTTAGCATCATCTTTGACAAGATTTAACTCCGAATAAACTGACTCGTTTTCATGCAGCTGTGCTTCGAGAGTTTGACGAACACGGAGCCCTTTCTGAAAATCATTTTGCAACCCCTTAAACACATCGGCCTCGCTCAGGATCTTTTTCTGCAAGTCTTCCAGTTCCTTGGGAATTATTTGATGTTGCATGATGCTCTTTGCCTAAGCAAACAAGGAATGGCAAAAGACTTCGAAACCTATTATATTAGGCACGCCAAATTTAAGGTCCTCAAGAAACTGCTATTCCCAACCAAATGCATCTTATCAACATTGGCAGACGTCTAACCAACTACGTTCTATCAGTATGTTGTCCTCCTGCTCATTGCTTGTATTCCGCTATTTAAAGACTACTAGTACGTCTTTCATGGATTATGTTCCGTATCGCATTTTACCTCATGAAACAAAAATGCGCGACCTCATTGAAAATGACCTACTTAAAACCTTACTATAGGTTAAGTTAGGTTATTTTGACTTTGTTCCTCTAAATAAAACATTCTAGCTATACTCTTTTCGTGTTCCGTACTTCCCAACTCGTCGGAAATGACAGACATGATGGATTTAATCATTCGTGCTTTTCCACATTTACTTAAGAGTCGTACTCGAGCAGGAGAACTTCTGAAGTCATTCAGAGCATTTGGATGCCCGCATCCTGTTCGTATAGGTCCTAGAAACTTTACGACTACTTCTGTGACCATGGCTAACAAAACTGCTTGCGTGCTGCTTGCACAAGGGGCCGAGGAGATGGAAGCTGTCATTGCTATCGACTGCCTGCGCAGAGCCGGCGTGAGTAGCATTTTGCCATAAAAGCGTCCGAGAGAAACCTTTTGCACCCCATGATGATACTTAACGCAGGATAATTTCAATAATTCAAAAATCATCAGCACTATTATATACGTTAATGTATGGTCCTGTGGTATTCAATCGTTTTACAGATATTAGTGTTATTATTGTACATTTACATAAATATCTTCCTCTATTTACCGTCTTGTACGCTTATGAAATTTGTTTGTATCTGTTTGGGCGTTTAAGCATCACAATCTAATGAAATAATGAAGTGTATGAGATGGTAGAACTAAACCTTCCGATTATGTTGAACTCAGTTTTCTCAACTTGAAAACCGCTAACGCGGGGCTCGTTACGCGTCCTATGGCCCTTACACTAGAGCATATAATCTACAATATTAATTACTCACATTTTTAGCAGAGAATGATATTAAAGTATCAGTCTGTTGTCAATCGGCTGTTTTTCAACACAATGTACTAAAGAAAATAATTCGGTTCTAATTGTTTGATTCAACTCAATAATTAGTTAAAGAATTAGCCATCCTTCAAGCTAGACTGCTTTTCTGAAGTGACATAGCTCGGGTAATAGTGGTTGCGTCGGGTCGATTGAAATTTGATTTGAGATTTGGCAGTGGTAAATGTCCTAAAACTGTTGGAATTCCTCTATTCAGGCATACGATATAGCGCCTTGAAGACAAGTGAAACTTCAATGCCGCGAAAGTTTGCTCTGTTTCGAAATTTTGTTACGATAAAGGCATAAATGTTACCCAGGTTTATAAAAAGTATGTGCCGTTCATTATTAAGATACGCTATCGAAATAAACGGCTTTAAGATGTTGCCGTTTTTGCCTTTGGAATTTCAACGTGAAAAATGTTTCTCATGGTGGTCGACTGATTACGGAAAAGTTGATGAAATCATTACGAACGTAAAGGAAAATTAAATGTTTTAAGTTGATTGACACACGAGTCGACGTGAAAGATCATTCGTGAAAGTTCTACGATTTTATCAGAAAAATAACAAGATTGCTGATCAAAGTGAAGCATATTTAGCTTAGTATATTTTTTGTAATGTATTCTTTGATGTAATGTAAGTTTCGCGTTCAAATGGAACGTACTTCGAGAACCTGATAGCTTATATAAGGATGCGACGACGAGGGAAAACAACGAAAGGAAATACCATTCGCACATTAAATTGGCGATGAGAAGTAATGGGTCACGTCTCCGTTTGATCTACTGCGCGAATTAAAAAATTAGAATAGTTTAAAGAGGCACAAAATTTAAACGAAACATTAAAGTTGAATTAGCTAAGAATATTGCAAAATTATTCTAGCCTCCCTAAAATATGACATGGTTTCTTTTTCGTTTTCTCGTTGTTTTCCACCAGATAACTGTCACGGTTGTTGGGGTCGATGCAACCCAGGTGAAATGCAGCCGTGAGGTCACGATCGTTGCCGACAAGGCACTTGCCGACGTGGAGAACCAGGTACGTCATTACTTTTTGTCAGTCATTGCACCTGTATCCCCTTTTAACTATAAAATAGTTAAATCTACCCTGAGACAGAAATGACAGCAGAGAAAGTATCCTTATTTCAAGTGAAAAGTTTCATAGGAGTAGTAATTATCGTAAATAACATATCACATTTTATTATTTTGTATTCAGATATTCGATGTGGTTGTCCTTCCTGGAGGCCTCCAAGGAGCGAAAACGCTCTCAGCAGTAAGTTGACTGTTTTTATTGGACATTCTCAAGTGACTACAGTGTGCTTTCGAATTATGGTGCTTATTTCTTTAATATGGAGATGCTAGCAGATTCATGGAAATTGGAACAAGACTTCTTGCAGAACGGTTGCTGTTAGACCAACCTTTGACCAATTTTAGATCGAGGAAAACCGTTTCGCAAACATTTTTTTCAGAACCCTACTGTCGGGAAGATGCTAAAAGTTCAAGAAGGCGCCGGACGCATCGTGGCGGCCATCTGCGCTGCTCCAATGGCACTGGCAGCTCACGGAATCGGCAAAGGAAAGAATGCTACAATTTACCCCACCATGGAGAGTCACTTGGTAATAAACTGTCGCTTTTAGTGATACTTTTATTTATAATCTTATAGTCTATAAATCGATCCCCTGTGGTTATAAGTCCAGACGGTGACACCATTTTCGCGTGTAACAGAGATCTTCTGGACAGTACGACAGACGTATCGTGCCATATCTAAAATTACATTTTTTTGCTGGCGATGTTCAAATAATAAAAATGATTCATCATTGGATATGCAATAATTGTTTGAAACAAAATTTTCCTATTAACAGTAATACTGTATGTCTATGGGTTATCACCTAATAAATGTCGCGGCAAAACGAATTTCACCCATTATTTAAGATCTCCGCACTACTGTTTGCCAAGTAATACGTATATACGCATGTTATGGTGACACTTAGCAAGCTGTTTTGGTCTCTGGTAATGAGTAGGACTTATTTATTTAATTAATTATTATTTATTATTTTATATATATATATATATATATATATATATAATAAAGAAAAATTTGTTTCTAAATAATTTCTTATTAATTAATTAATTAATTAACTAATTAATAATAATAATATATATATATATATATATATATTATTATTAATTAGTTAATTAATTAATAAGAAATTATTTAGAAACAAATTTTTCTTTACCATTAAAAAGTTTGATCTTGTTAGGTAAATTCGTTAGACGTTTAGCTATATATAGGCACACCATATTGACGCTGCAAGAAATCAGATAAAATCAGCGATCTCTATTTCAGCCGGGGTACAACTGCAAGGATGACAACGTTGTGGTGGATGGCAAAATGATTACTTCTCGTGGTCCTGGCACTGCGTTCCAATTTGCACTCAGAATCATTAAGGAACTTCTCGGAGAAGAAAAGGCGAAAAGCGTTGCCAAGCCAATGCTAGTCGATTTTTAACAAGCTTTCCTATGTTGTCATGCAAAAAGTAATAAAAGTAGCAGTTATAGTAGAGGAATTTCACTACTGATTCACTACTAATGATGAAACGAACTATAAGCTAAGCAAGGTATTTAAGCAATGTAAATGAGGTGTCAGCTCCACACCAGACTCCGAAAGGGATATGATAGTTGTCTGGTTGGCCCTGCATGCGATGTATGATTCATCGCTTCCATTGTATTCATTAAAATATTGGCTTCGATTGCTTTGGAAGTTTTTCATGACCTTCGTAAGATCCTTCTTGCCAAGATTAGGCGCTAGCGTTTACTCGGCAAACGTACAGATATATAGAACGCGCTACAAGATTTTCATAGCAACTCCACAGCAAATAAGGTACTAATAATTCATAGCAGCAGTTCCCCCTATTTCATGTTACCTCATTTGTTTGTAATTGCATTGAACCAGAATGAGTATCTCTTGTACCACATCAGTAATAGCGTAAGGTATAGTAATATTTGCAATCGCTAACGCTGTCAATAGTTAAAATATTGCAGAGCAACTAATTGCCCTTTTCGCGCTTGTGAGTCTGAAGCAGTCTCTCCGATTGCACAACGAAATATGCGCACCGAAATAGTATAAATACATTTGTTTTACTTCATCGGAAAACGTATATATTCGCTATGCAGCTCAACAGAGTTTATAGGAAATTCGTACTCACTCTTCATATCGTTGTCTTTTTCACATCGTAGAGCAAAATACCCTGCAAGGAATCCTGTTCTCTGCATTCGTAATGCGTCGGTTTACCAATTTCGTATCAATGAAATGCTCGGTGAAACAGCGGTAGGTGATGAAAGGGATGAAGCAAATGCTGAGTTCGAATCAAGCATTAGACAAACTTTAGTCTAATTCAGAAATGGCAGATTTCCGATGCCAATTCGCTTTGCACTAAAACTAGAGTTAATAGGCGCTTGCTTGTCCGACAGAACCTGAGTAACATCTTCAATTTTCAAGGAACGATCCCGAGATTAGAATCTATTAGATACAGCTAAGTGGAGATTGACTTACTTTCTAATAAAGTTTACGGCATGCTGTGGTGGTGTGCAGAGTATTTAGTTTGATCTTCTTTCGTAATAAGCTAACTAACTTATTGGAAACACGAACTTGACTTGTGAATGTGACAGCTATGTTGTTAACTATGTAACTATTAACAAAAAACAATTGCACGACTGTTCGGGTTTAGTCAAAAGATGATCACCCATATGATTATTATGTATGCAAAAAGCAGCTTCTAAGACTAAAAGAATTGAAACGGCTCGACGCTGATCATTTTATAACAAACTAACTGTAGATGCCAGGTGATACGCAATAAGGCTGAATTTCATGTTCATTTACGAAGACTAACAACAAACAATATTATCTTAGCATGGATGCGGAACAGATGCTTTTGATCGAAAACTTTCTGCAAATGGACAAGGCTATAATACTAGAGGCAATTCAACCTGCGAGACTCTTAAAGGCTACACTTTCCCTTTTTTCTACTACGTTGGCAAAGCGTTTGATTGAATTAAGGAATATCATACGAAAGCCTAATTAATTTTAGCCCTGCCGATTAATCTCGTCCTCATTTTGCTCGCTCGCGTGTGTTGTATTATTAGGTCATTATAGGTGTACTGCAACGCTGTCATCGTTCAGAATCAGAGTAATATGGGGAGCATGCGAGTGATACTAGACCCGATGAACTACGAACTGAGAATGAATCTACGCATTTGTTACAGACAAAGGTCATTAATAAAACTGTGATTTGGATGTGGGGATCTGGAAGCGCGGTCAGGCATGAAAGCGCAAGCAAATCTTCGGAAGTCAATTATAATGCGCAATATGCAGTACATCTGCAACTGGCATTGCAATACATAATCTCTGTTATATAATAATATACTCCCGACGTTATTGAACTAGAAACCCAGTAAGGATATAATATTACTACTATTATTAAAATAGATTTAAAAAAAAACTACAGCATACGTACGCAGTTCGATGTCGAATTCTCAACATATCTATAAAAGATGACGTAAGTTGCGTTACTTCCCCTATAGGTAAAAGATGCGCGCTGTATGTGAGACACGTTTCAAATTTTCTATAGGCTAATTGGGTTACTTTTAAGGTGATGACAATGCATAGAAGATGCCGCAATGCGCTTCTTAAGGCTGAATATATAGATCACACGACTACGCCAACATTATCTGCAATGGGCCGTTCGTGATGCCACTTGCACCCGAGCGCCGAGTGGTCCGTTGCGATGGTGATTTGATATTATTAGGTGAACCGCAAGAATCATGAGAGCGGGATCGTTTGGCCAGCTTACAAGACACTGCGGGAAGCCTCGATGTCTGATTGACATTTCAAGACCACTGCGAGCAGATGATATATTTGACCGGGAGTGGTTAAGGCTGCAATTAGCACTACCAAAGCGTGACAGTATTGTAGATCGGTGCAGACGTATACGGCTTCTGGCGCGACATTTTCTGTCGTCAAATGCTGATGCTTTCCTTCACTGCCAGTTCATTCATTTCTGGTTTATGTAAAGTACGTGGTTTTCCTTTTGAGGAGCACGTACCTTTCTTTCCTTCCATTTTCGCAGGTATGCAAAGTACGGTATTTGTGTCGATTCTATTGATCTGTTTGTCCATATTCCCATAGATAATAATGCTACTGTCATCACGCAAGAAATTTTGTGAGCGGCTATCGTAAATAAAACGCAGACGATTGTTTGACTACGTCATGCGTTGTTGACTGGATACAGAGAATATAGACATGAATACCATACTATATACCCAAAATTGAGTTTTTGAAGCCTATGTAGATTTACAGTTTGATACAAGCTCGCGCATGTGGTTTCTTTCCGGTTTGCGAACTACGTTCATTAATATATTTGAAAGTCCGTTTTCTAATATCTATTACGTTTGACACGATGCAATACACAGATTTTACCCAGAATTTTTATTATTAAATTATCGGCCCCAGCTTAAAATAATATTGACTATCTTTGTGGTTTGTTTATATAATGTCTATTACGGACGTGTAAATCTTAAAATCTTGAACATGACTCTTTTGAGAATAACTTAAAGTCAACAACGAATATATTCTGGGCGATAGGATGAATACGTGACCGTTCTAGGACAACAAATTGATCACCGAGTAATGCCGAACTGATTGTTAAGCAGGAAGCTTTCTTAGGTCGCTTCTGCCCAGTGCCCATTAACACTGAAGTACCTTAGTCTACACGGTAATAGTTCCTCATTCTTATCAAATGGATGTGAGAGATTAGATCATATATAATGAAAAGCTACTCTATTAATTAATCATGAATCACTATATATCACATGAATTATAATCAACTAGGTGGTAGTCGAGCGTTTTTTTTTTTGAAAATGCATCGTTATAAATATGCTCGAGGCCAAGCGTTATTTGATGATTTTTGAGGTGTTGTAGTAGCAGCAAGTTTAGCAAGGCGTAGTAGGCAAGCAATCGGCTGATAAATTGGAATTCAAAAGCTAAATTGTGTTCCATGGGGCGACCAAAAATGATCATTCGCTCATGAGCATATCAGTTGGGTTAGTCGATATATGGCTTTCGCATTTCATTACGAAACCCTTTTGTATTGCGTCGAATAGACATGACGACGTGAGAGAGAGAGGCTGACGAGGCTGCTGCTATACTGGCTCAGAACCTAAACAGAGAAAAGGCTAAGATCCCAAAACGTGAGACGCACGTGTTCCCTCCGCGCACATTTCGATGAGGAGTCGCCAGGTGGCGCTGTTGCGAATGGAGGAGCCGGCCCTGCTCCAGCAGCTTAAACGGGCCCGCTGGGCCTTCCAACTCAGTTGGTCTGATGCCGGCATAGGGGAGACACGCGCGGTCTTCCACCGCTTCGTTGAGTCAGTCGGCAGAGCCGCAAAATCTAGTCATTTTGTCTCGAACGCTTCTGAATTACATACATGGACAGCAGCCGATTGGTGTTCTTGTCGTATGTACCAGTATTGCCGTAAATTGTCTGGGTGAGACCCTATCAACAGCAGTAGTAGCCGTAGCAGTCGGTGCTGATAGAATACCGCACAGAAGTATAGTGCAAATAATTTCCTATTCGTTTCCACACTATAAAAAAAAAAGTGCTGTTAAGGTGAATGTGAGAGTCATCGTTTTGATTATTTTGAGAGAACTTAAGTGCCGCAATGCCAGATAAAAAGTTCGTGGACTGGCCAAGGGTGCCTGGGCAGGGCGACGAAGTTTGCGGGTGAAGCTAGCTTGTGTGCGGCCATTCGAAAAAAACAAATAGAAAAACTTTGTTTTTTTTTTGTTCATTTTGTCTTGTAAGCTTCGCTATTGGATTACAGTGTTGTGTTTGTCTGCTTAAGTTACTCTCGCTTCGGCCCAACTTGGAGTGTGAGTGCGTGTGATCGGTGTGAGTGCCCGGTGCCAGTGAATTGGCATGGGGCACTATCAACCCCGGCCTCAGGAAGTGACCCAGTCGGGGTCGCTCCGGGCCACTGTCACTGTGTTCTTGGGATATGTAGTGCTCTATCTTGGATTACTGTGCTCTCTCATCGCTCGAATATCAGGTATTTTAAAGGGCTACACCGCCGCATTGCTCAAAGTTCATTGTATGTTACACACATATCTATTTATAGGAGTGGCGGTGGGAGCTTTACCGTAGCACATACATATGCAGCGTTGGGCCTTTGGTATGCTACTTTTCGTGAATCAAGTCTTTGTTTACCAAGTAGCGGCTCACGAACTCCTAGTTAAGCTGGATGATATTCAACGTAATTGTAAATTTGCTAATTATAACAGCTGTGATAGCCACGCAGGCTTTTTGATGACTCAACCCACTGTATGCTTTTGATATAGGACCTATCTTTACCGATGGACTTCTTTGTATATATTTTTGGAAATATTCGTTATGTGCACCATCTATTCATTGCTATTTGAAAGCTCACCCGAGCTTTCGCCTGTAGGCTTATTAATCTATAAGTATGTGTAATAGGTAGGATTCGTAAAACGTGCATTGGTTGAATGGTTATGTTCGTTCAATGTAATACGTCGAGTAATAGAAAGAGATTGAGTTGTCTCTTTTCGTCCTAGATACAATTATTTATGAAAGCAACGTTTCTTCGTGATACATAAAAGTGAAAAATCATTTTACCTATTGTATTTTAAGTATGGTTTAAATATGTCAATACACATATTTAGCGAGGTGCTCTAGCGGTCTCAGGGTAATGAAATCACGAGTGGGTTATGCGTACGAGGTTACGCTGGAAAACTTTGAATACCAAACGCATGTTTACTACAGATAATACTAGTTCATAAGAAGACTTACATAATGTAAACTGGTAGTACGAATTTGTTCATGGACAACATCGAAATAAGCAATAGATAGCTTCGTATCCATTGGCCTGGGTTTGGGCGGAGTAACTTGCATTAGTTGCCCTACGTCTATTATATAAATAGTGATCGGGAAGTACGCTCAAAGCTCGCTTGGTCTAGTAATGTACATTATTCCTTTTGCTTATTATCATATGATTTATCTACGTTTTAGCAATTTATACTTGTTTAGTACAACGCATAATGCTTACCTCGGATTTTCATTGCTTTTATAGCTATTTATGTCCACTGATGTGGCAGGAGCTATTCAGGCCAGCGCCGTTACAGTAGCTGAAGATACTAATGCTATGTATTCACTATGATTCACGTAATCCCGTTAGACCAGTCTAAGCGTCGCTATGGCTATTATATGCTTTTAAGGCTAGTATGCGAAACATTCATTGTATTGCCGATCGCAAGTGACTTGAGTTGAGAGCTGCCCTAGATCCGTCTGGAGCTAAATTCACCTAGTTCTCCTCCGATTTGTTAAACCGTAACAGTAAACTGAACAAACATAAACAAACCATTCAGTGGCCCGAAACTGCAGCAGCAGCAGCAGCAGCGCCACCATCTGCCGCAACAGCATCAGCAGCATGCTGCTATAAACATAAATACAAAAGACTCATCGATTGCTATTATGAAAGCCACAATCGTCGTTGGTGCAGTTGCGGCAAGACTACTTCCGGCGTGGTGGTAAGAACGGGCGGAAATGTACTGCGCGCGTTGTAAAACGAACATTTGAAAGCTCAGACAAGCCTAGCATTGTTAGCAAGGCTGGCATATTATTACAACACCACATCGTATCGCAATTCACTCTTTGCATAACAGGACGCTACAATGTATCTCGACAATTTCCAGCAGAAATGGAATACGATGTCATTCGAGAGCACAACACTATGTTCAAGTCCGCAAGATCCATTTGAGACAAAAGCACTACCATATACTAAAATTTCTGTCGAACAAGTTCCGCTAATTTACTGGCAGCTGTATGATATAACTTGTTACTGCCGTATGCTCTGAAGAAAATGGTGTACTACCTCTACCGTCACTGAGCCGCTTAACCTATTGACCATTGCCTTTCAGATTAAAAGTCGTATAACAGAATCTATTTTCTTGTCCCCCGGGGGGGGGGGGGGGTATTATTATACTTTTAAAAATAAATATTTCTAAAAATGCTAATAACCATATATATTCATACTGTGTGTGTACATGTAAGATCAAGAAACACAAGAGTCACATTGAAAAGATTCTGATGGTGCAATTTCGATATATCGATGGACTTCGATTTAAATTTGGAATGTTTTTAAATTTTATATTATTTATATGAAGTAGCCAATCTTGCACAAACCTGGCTATTCATAGTAAAGCTTCTCTAATGACACCCTGCCTATGATTGAGTGTTCGTCTAAAGTGTTCCAAGACACGGTTATAGTAACCTCCAATAGGTAAATATCATTTTTCGGGCGCCACAGACCAAAAGCCATTCTGGGTTGGCTGCTCGCCTCAAACATTGTGATCATCATATTCCCTACAGGTAATCTTTTGTCGGGTAATTTACCGTTTAAGTTATTTACCAAATGAAAATTTATAGGGAACTGCTCACCTATATGTGCCTTGCGAATGAATTTGAGGCGTAACGATAAATTCATGGGTAGTGCCAGCCCAGGCAACCAGAAAGCCGCTTGCTCCCTATATGTATTTACTTATACCCTTTCTTTGTTTTAACTACAAAATTAGTACTCTAGGTAAACGCCCTATGCACATTTGAGAATCAATCGAAAGCTCTCAGAAATATAGCAGGTGACAACTGCGGCCGTTGCAGTAACCCATGAATTAGAGCTGCTTACTGATGTTACTCGAGCTAGAGGGAGCATATTTTTCAAGTTGTTAGGATTTGCATGAAAAAGAAGTTAGCATGTCAACACCCATGGGTCAATTGCTTAAACGTTAAAGACTAATTATATGATACGGACTCTACCTTCGCGCTGGCATAGATCGTATGTACTAGCGAAGGTCGGTCGTTCTTTCAATGGCAGCACGAGAGTTTTGCCTCGAGTAAGTAAACGGCCACAGTTTGATCATCATACTTCGTGATACTCGCTTAAACTCCGGTTGTAAATGAACATCTCCGCCTATTACTAGGTATTGAATGTTTATGGAATGTCATGCACTCATTTGGTTTGTGTGTTGCATGGGCACGCTTGCTAAACGACCATCCCTCATACATGCATGTTGTGGAGACGTTTTGACATCGGATTCGCCATTCAGTCACAGGCCAACGTTCACCTGCATCCGTATATACGGCAGAACGCCAATGTTGATTTAAGTTTTCACGTACATAAAGGCCTTGCTTGCCCTTTTAAGTTAAGTAGGTGTCTGTGATGATGTCCAAGTATGCCTTGAATATATGCGTACGGGTTTAACTCTTTCCGTATAAGCTGTAAATGTAGACGAAGAGGAAGCAGCGGACAGTATTAGCACACGGGGCCAGTTTCAGATTGAAGGAAAATATCACTGCACGAGTTTCAACTTTTTATATAACACATACACCATTCGTTAGTGGAATCAACGAATGAAATACGACTTATCGAACATTATTATGTCTATAAGAATATTTATTAGTTATGGGAGTGAACATCTTAATTCCTCTAGTCCTTGTAATCGGCTTATGCGCGTCGCTCCTTTTGAAGCTCCTATGAAGCTCAAACGAACGAAAGAAGCAGCAGTACTATTTATACTCTATCTAAGTATCTATTTGAGATTCTATTATATAATATCAGCCCATTCAAACCAATGACTGGGATTCGAAGTGATCGGCTAGCCCTTGACAAGTATGGCCTACGGCTGCTATATAAATCTGGACACAAAGCAGTCGCATTGTTTTCTGCTCTTTTTTTGTTTGGTAAAAGGTTCAGACCTATTTCGTCCACTTTATAGGTACCATAATGCGCTGTTTTCGCGTAATATTCTTTCTACGCATGATCAGTAACGAACGATTATTGGTCTATCAGTCCATTCCGGGTCTGAGCAATTTGTCTTCTATTTACGAATCTCCTTATGATCATCATTATCATTAAGGAAAAGACAGCAGTGATTTCATACGTGAGTCGTTAACTTCGTGTGCTTACGGTTAACCTCAGCCTAGCTTCGCTGGCATTGTGTCAGTTGATCTATCTGTTTAGATGATAGACTTGTTGTGAGTTAGTCGGAAGATTCACTAAAAGTCAACGAAAGAGTGCTCGCTTTTGTTAGCCTCACAATGAACATTCACGTCGTCGGATTACTTAAGCCAACTACCATTATTCAGTTACAAGCTTTAGCCATAGTCTGGCCCGTAACCATAGTCTGCCACTAACATTGCAATGAAACTTACTGTAATCCATTCCTTTATTATGATTGCCGCTGTAGGACGTTACCTGATTCGGCCTCGTTTGAGGCTCGTCTATTTCTTTTGCTCAACGTAATGAACAAATTAACTCATAGAGAAACAAGTCACTGTTCTGTCGCTCGAACGCGTCGTTGTTGGGAATGGTTTTACAGTTCCATGTTCAGGATTGCACGGGGTACGGCGGCGAGGGTTACGACTTAACGGCCGATAATTTCTGCCATTTTTTCGACCAACGTTGTCCCATCAGTTCAACGTAAATCTAAATGTTCAACGAACTGCGGGAATTGATTTTGTCCTAGTCCTGTATTGAGACGAATTCTTATAGGTGGACGAGCTTCAGATAATCGAGATTGCACAAATGTCCTTATGCAGATGACTGTATAAGGACATCGAATTCTATTGTTTCTGTGAGTCACCGCAATCGTCTTCAGTTTGTCAGAGACCAAACTTGCCGCATGATGAGTGACAGAAGCAAAACGTATTGGCTACGACAGACCTTTCGCCTCAGCAGCAAGCAGAATATGGCAGCTACGTCTGCTGCTGACGAAATAGCATGGTCAAGAAAGCAAAAACAGGCAACAGCAAACGACAAATATGGCAAGTCATTTGTTCTGTTGGGCAGTCCAGACAACTGGGCAGGCCAGTGAATTTGTCTTTTCCCATTTTCACTCCTCATCCTGCGTGATTCGGCCCAAATCAATCTCTACCTACGTTGAACAGAATCAACATCCGAATTTTGTTAGCACTACCATTAGGTCTGCGTAGTTTGAAAACTGTTTTTATGGCTCCAGAAAATTTGTTGCATTTCAC